CAGGTGCTCTGGTAGTTCGGTCACTCTGCTTAGGACTCTCTCTTTTTTTCTTTTTTATTGAGATATAATTGATATGCAACATTACATTAGTTTCAGGCGAGTAACGCAATGATTTGATATATGTATATGTTTCAAAATGGTCACCACAGTAAGTCTAGTTAACATCCATCACCTCATGCAGTTATACTTTGTTTTTCTTTGATGAGATTTACTCTATTAGGAACTTTCAAATACACAATGCAGTATTATTAACTGTATTCACCATGATCTACTTTACAGCCTAGGACTTATTTATTTTATAACTGAAAGTTTGTACCTTTTCACCCCCTTCACCTATCCCCAACCCCATCCCTCTGGCAACCACCAAGTTGTTTGTATTTGTGAGCTCAGGTTTTTGTTTTCTTCTTAGATTCCACATGTAAGTGGAATTGTACAGTATTTACTTTTCTCTGACTGACTTATTTCACTTAGCATAATATCCACGGTGTTCTGTGTCCACCCATGTTGTTGTACATGTCAAGATTCACTCTTTTTTATGGATGAGTAATATTCCATTGTGTATATGTATCACACCTTCTTTATCCAATTATCAATTGATGGATACATGGTTTGCTTCCATATCTTAGCCATTATAAATAAAGCTGCAATGAACACAGGGGCACACATATCTTTTTAAATTAGTGTTTTTGTTTCCTTTGAATAAATAGCCAAAAGTGGAATCACAGGGTCAAAAGACAGATCCATTTTTAATTTTTGAGGCTTCTCCACACTGCTCTTATAGTGGCTGCACCAGTCTGCACTCCCACCAGCAGTGCATGAGGGTTCCCCTTTCTCCACAGCCTCGCCAGCACTTGTTATTTGTTGATTTATTGATAGTAGCCATTCTGACAGATGTGAGGAGGTATCTCATTGTTGATTTTGATTTACATTTCCTTGTTGACTAATGACATTGATCATCTTCTCATGTACCTGCTGGTCATCTTCTTTGGAAACGTACCTATTCAGTTCCTCTGCCTATTTTTTAAATTTCATTGTTTGGTATTTTGCTATTGAGTTGTATGAGTTCTTTATATATTTTGGATGCTAACCACTTATCAGATGTATGATTTGCAAATAGCTCCTCCCATTTAATAGGCTGCCTCTTCATTTTGTTGATGGTTTCTTTAATATGCAGGTCCCCCTCCCTCTTTTTTTCCCTTAGTAATGAAACAACTGCTGAGTTTCCTACATTCTGTAGGTTGGTCATATTCTCGTAGTACTTTTTACTGTGTTATCCATCCCTATATTAACAGTAAATTGGCTAAACCAGATTCCAGTTGGGTTTTGGACCAGCCTCTTCACTAGCCTCTGTCCTTCTTGGCTCCAAGGAGTACTCCTGCCCCCATCAGTCTCCACAATTAGACTTCTTCTCCCTTAAAAGTTTGTTTCCTGCCTTTTACTTGGTATATCTCCACACATTGCCTTGAATTATTTTGTTTACCGTCTGTATGCTAATAATTTGAAAATCTCTGCTTTCCTTCAGCACCCCTCTTGGCTCCAGATCATTCTCCATCCCATCGTCTGAGGGATCCATTAAAATTCTATCTGACCAGGTCGCTTCCTTGTTTGACACTCTTCCCATCACCTTCAGGGTTAAAGCCAAGTTCTCTGCTCTGAATCAAGACCCTTGCTGGCCCAGCTCTACATCCCCCAGCTCCATCTGTTGTCCTTCTGTGCTCTTGGCTTTGGCCTCTGCCCTAACTGCCCTTTTCCTTCCTTTCTCCAGACAGACTGGCCCAGGAACCACATTTGCTAGGAAGCCTCCCTGGGCTACTATACAGGGTCAACTGTCCAGGTGTTTGTGCGTTTATCTCCCAGATGAGGCCTTGGATAATTGACATGTTTCATTGACACCCCACTGCCCAAAACATCACTGCACTCCGATGTTTGTGGAATAAATGTTGAAAGTGACTGGAGATTTTAGGAATTCCCCTTCTTTGCAGAGTTTAGTTAGGGCCTTATGTTGACTTCCGGGTATGAAGAATAGAACACCATCATCCACTCACCATCTCTTCTCTGAGAGGCCCAGAGTGTTACGAGAATATGGGGAAAGAGCAGATGAAATTCAACTAAGGAATTTTGAAAACTCAAGATTCTGACTTGAATTGGACCTTAAATATTGTGGGTGGTCCCTGAGCTGATACTAATTTTGGGAAGGGGAACCCTGATCAGATCTTAGTTGCAGCGCACACAGGGAGTGCACCACTGCTCGGAGGGAAGGATGGCGAAGAGATAGAAGGGCGGGAACATGAAGGACCATGTTGTGCGGGCCTCTGAAAGCAAAGCAGAGGACTTGGAACTTTTCCTGACAGGAACCCCAGCATGAGGGGCTCCAGGGAGCCTGTGTCTCAGCAGCCAGTCATGGGTAGGAACAAGGCATTGCAGAGGAAGTAGGAAGGTTGGAAGGCCGGGCAGACGGCCTTGTCACTCCTCACAAGGACAGAGTTCACTGCTCTGAAAGCCTGGACGGCAGTGCCAAGGGAGCAGTAGCGATGAGAAGCAACACGTCTAATTTCAGCCGTCTGCATGCATGTCAGACTGCAAAGGGGTGAGCTCTGTGAATGTAAGAGTCTCGCTGGCAGAGACACTTGCATTTTGCAGACAGCCCCCACTGTCCTCTCTGGTTTGCACATGACAGATGCATTAGAATTCATGGTTGAGGCTGCCTCTCTCCTCCAGGTGCAGCAATGAGAGGGAAGTTAGGGGACCATGCCTGTGGGCTCACCACCAGCAGCGTTGCCCGTTCCTGAGGCCTCCTCTCTCCCCCATTACCGCCTATATCCTTCTGGTCACCACGAGTAGGGGCCTTGGAATCCCTGCTACCTAGTCCCCACACTCAAATAGGAAATGTCCCTCTCAGCTTTAGAATGCTCCAGTGGCAGGTGGGGCATGGTCTGCTGGTTGACCTGTGACCCACCCTCTTAGAGCACCCTGCCAGCACCTGATTCCCCTCCTTCTACATGTGCCAGGTGTCACCTGACGCTGGGACATGGACCCCCACACAGCACTTCCCTTTAGGCAGAACCTTCTTTGTTCTTTCCCACTATGTAAATGGCACTTAGTTGGTGTTGAGTGAATTTGTCATCACATGAAGCTATCATTTCCAGATTCTCCTCTGCCCAACTATCCTCGCCATCAGTGTCTAAAGATGTTTGACCCAAATGAAAGAAGGCCTCACGTACCCTCCTTACCTGTCCAGGGCCATCCATCCCCTTCAGGCCTCTCAAAGTTAACACTTGACTCAGAGACTTGCATGGTCTCCTCCATGGAGAACGCCCTTTAATCCTGCCACTCCCTCCGTGCCCCCAGCACTGGCCAGGCCACATCATCTACTTCACTCCTCCTGCAACAGCGTTAGTTGTCCCTCCCTCACCCTGCCCCTCCCAGGCTCTGCTGCCCCGCTGCCCTGCTGCCCTTGCCCGCTCTTTCACTAGACAGTTTCAGCATACTTCACTGAAGACCTTTCAACCTGGTTGCTGCATTTCAGTCACAGCAACCAGAGCCAGTCACTTGAAGGACCTATGACTTATGCAAGCCACAGGGGTCAGGATAGCCCTGCCAGGCCCTCTCCAGGCACCTGCAGTGCCACAGCCTCACTGGTGCCAGGAACTTTTGGTAAAAGGGGTGGACAAGAAACCATACACACCCCAAGGTCGAGGCTTAAGAAACCTTTAAGCACATAGCATTTTTTAGTTTATCCCAGGCTCCCATTAGTCAGCAGCACTTTGGGTGCCTCCTGCTCTGGCATGTGATAGATCTGCAAATGGGTGTGTGTTGCTTGAGAGGTTGGAGAAGTGGCAGCTGTGATTCTGAGAAAATTTAAGGTCCCTCGCACTCAGCTCCAAAAGAAAGAGAAACATTCGTAAGATGATTATACAAGTTTTAAATGGGAGGATTAATGGAAATGAGAATTTAGAGTTGTGGTGATCCCATGAGAAATGGGGATAATCTCTCCCTCTGCATTCATGTCTTCCTTGCTTTGGGGAGGGGGCGGTAGAGGCTGGAGTCGGGCCTGGGGAGTGTTCTTGTTCCCCAGATTCCTCAGACCCTTCACAGTGTGGCAGCCCGTTTGCAGCTGTTGACACTCAGTCCTTGGCATCTCACCTGAAAATAAGGAGGCCTGAATGAGGATGAGGACGACCAAGTTTACACCTCCATGCACTTCAAATGTCCCAGGCTGGCCAGGCCTGCTGTCTGCTGCTTTGCAGAGGAGGGAACATGGACCCTGACAGAGGGACATGGGGCTCACCTTGTGGCCTTCTGGACAGGTGTCTCAGAGCTTCCTTTGTTCACTGCTTTTTCAGCAGCCGGGTGACTGGTGTCTGCATGGTCTGGTGTCTGGGCCAACTAGCCCCATGCAGAGTCACCTGTCCTGGGGACAGTGCATGCAGTGCCCTAGCACGGGTGCCCCCTTCTGAGGCTGCAGAGCCTGGTGCACTGGAGCGGGGGTGGTTCTGCTTGGGGGTGGCCCTTCAGAGCTGGAGTTGGGGTTCTGGCACAAAAAGGGTGTGTGATCACACTGCATTAGCTGTGTGGTCACCTGTGGGTGCATGTGCACAGTGTAGAGATATTGTTTCTCTAGGAGTGGTAGTGCAGAGTCTGAAAACAGTTTAGGGAACGGCCAGCTGTGAAGTCTGCCTTTGCCTCTGTAGGTCCAGGTCTCGCATGGACACGACCAGGGGTCAAGTGTCTGGCCAACCTTCCTGCTCCTGTGAGCAGTGGTAACCTCAGCACTACCTAGTACCCCTTAGGGTGCTCACTTTACAGTGGTAACCTCAGCACTATCAAGTATCCCGAACATGCACTGACCCTGCGTGAACTGGCCCTCCGTGCACCGACCCCTATGCCCCACTGGAGCTTACACCGCCTGAGTTTGTACTGACCGCTCTCGCAGGCTCTCTGAGCGCGCACTGAACCCAGGCGCTCTGACAAGCGTGCATTAATCCCGCCTCTCCCCGCAGGCTGTCCTACGACCCCACCCGCTACCCTCGGCTCCTGCCGGAGGCCTACTGCTTGTGCCGCGGCTGCCTGACCGGGCCGCGCGGGGAGGAGGACCTGAGCCTTCGCAGTGCGCCCGTGCTGCTGCCCACCGTGGTGCTGCGCCGCACTGCGGGATGCGCTGGTGGCCGTTCCATCTACACCGAGGAATATGTGGCGGTGCCTGTGGGCTGCACCTGCGTCCCCGCGCCCGACCGCGACGCGCCAGCCGCCTCCGGAGGGGACCGTGACGGAAAAGACCGGACCCGGCACCCAGGCCATCAAGAACGGGACAGGGACCTGCGCAGGCCTGTCCGCCCAGAAACGGGACAGTGACCCGGGCAGGCCGAGCTCGCCGGCGTCCCGCTTCTTCTAGGTGGAAGTCAGTGCACAGCAGATGGAACTGACAGGGGTTGGCCTAGTGCAGGGAAACCGAGGCTGGGACAGGACAGGTCACAGACCACCTCTGAGGCTGCAGATCCCGCCCCAGGGCCCAGCTTCTATGTGCAGGGGACACCGGGCTAGGGCAAGCAGGAGGCCACAGCCTCCATACATAGGTAGGTGGTAGCCGCTTTTCAAGACATCTTTTTATAAAAAGAATATATACCTACTTGTTTTCTATAGGGGCAGAAACTATTCTTATATTAGCAATTTTGAATATGAATATAGATTTTTTTTTTACCTGACACAGAAACGTTTTATAAACCTTATTTTTATTTCTTCTGCTAGGTTTCAGAAGCACAGTTGAAATCCTCAGATAAACTCTTTTGGGTGGGTACCTGAGTCTCTGAAGCCAGCCTGTCTCCAACTGCCAGCATAACCAGGTGGACAGGGCTGAACCTGACATGCCCGTCTATCTGGTGACAATCTCCAGAGGCTGCTAGAGGAATAAAAGGGAAGTGTAATAGGCTCTGGTCACCCCACAGACACCCCAGAAATCCTAAACTTGGGTTTATTCATGAGTGTATCCAGAGCTGGTTTACTCAGGACATTTCTTTTCACTTTTCAAAATCAGTGGGGCCAATTTGTGGGAAAGAGGCGGTGAGATAAGGCAACATGTGGAAGGAGACATCTTTGCTGGCTCTCAAAAGGAACCTAACTCTTGGCTGTTTTAAGGGCTTCTGGAACTAGCAACATAGGAGGGGTAAGTGGGCCAAATTAACAATTTCTAAAACATGGTATTGAGACTCCTTGTCTACATATTGCAATGTGAGCCAAATCCTTACTCTTAAGTTGGAAGTCTGTCTCTGAACACAATGATTTGTAAAAGTGACAAGTTCTTTTTAAATCATTAAAACAAGTGTCGGTGAAGGCATGTTGTTTGCATGTATTTCTCAGGTGGGTTCGACTGAGTTTTAGAGGAAACAATGTTTATCTTAATTTTATGGTGGAAGTTTATGATTTGATTTGGTCTTAGATCAAGTATACAAGTCAAGTCAATACCGTAGCTCTTCTGTGACTCCCCCGGCAAGCCAAGAAGGGTGCCCCCCCTTTTTTTTACGTGTTTTACTCCCAAGCCGCCACAGAAATAAAACAGCCCTGGCTGCCTGAGTATTCCTCAACCTTCTTGATCTGGACACAAGGTTCATTGAGAGGACTTTCAACTTTTACACTCTGCTGAACAAAATCTGGATTTTCCAAGTACCTGTGGCTAGTTCCATATAGTTCGGGAAATCTTTTCAAAAGGTAGCCCAAGTGATGGTGTATTTAAAATATGTTGCCCAGAAACAGAAGGTTCAGAGCAACCTTTTGTTGCCAATTCAGAACAAAAACAAAAAAAAACCTTTAGATTAAAAAGAAAAATTGTCTTTCAAACTGATGATTTTGGTGGTAGTTTCAACCATCACCACTGTTGTGCATCATCTTCCAGCCACTCCTCAGATACAGTGAAAACAAGAATGGGTAAGGAGAGTGACCTACCTGCATTGTTAGTTTACTTAGTTTGTTCAAAGTTAGCACATTCCCAATGGAAGAAACTGGCTTTCCATTTTAAGGTCTACAAAGGCAGCCTTCCTTTTTACTTTTTCTCTAAATGACACATCCATCTACCTATTTATTGAGCACTTGCCTTGCTCTAGGTACTGAGCTCCTGGAGCCAGCTTTGCACCATCACAGCATCAGCTGAAAAGTGCAAACTGTGCTGGCTGTTAGCGCACTAGTTATGCTCAGGCCACTGCTCACCTTATGTGTTGCCCAGGAATCAGACCTATTTTGCTCACCTATAAAATGAGGTGGTGCCATCCACCTCACAGGCATCACGAGGGCTGACCAGTATTGTGAAGAGCATGGCAGTGCCCACCCACACACAGTAGGTGCCCAAACACACTTGCTTCAGTGACTCATGAGCTACATTGTGAATACCCAGCTTCTTTCTTCATATTCTCTTTATATTACTTCAAAGTACCTGTTTGGGGCGGCGGGGGGCGGTTCTTTTTTGGTATAAAAGTTAAGTTTAAAATGAAATCTATCCCCTAGGCAGAAGCAGTTAGAATACAGTCAAACCTTGGTTCTCAAACAACTCCATTCTCTGCCAAATTGCTCACAGAAAAAAAAAAGTCTCAGTTGTCTAACAAAACTTTGGGTCTCGATTCTCTACCCTGCAAGCCTTTCATGTTGATACCTGTATGATCAGTCATGCATCTCTCACGCAACAGATTGTTTTTGAACAAATCACTTCTCAGTTTTCTAGAACAAATTAAGTTCATGAACTGAGGTTCCACTGTATGTTGAAACTAGAGAACAGTGATCCAGTATGGGGAGCTACTGCTTCAATGAATTTATTGAACAGAATTTTGTTCACGTTAAAACTGACATTTTATTTTGGAGGGGAGGCATTACTATTGTGTTTTACCCAACAAATAGGAAAATACAGTGCCTAGAGAATTATGCCACCAAAATTCAAGGATCTTTCCCCCTGGTCCCAATAAAACTGTTAACACAGCTGCATCTTGTTGATCCAGGCAGGCAGCTGGGCGCCCTAAAATCTAGCAGCACTAGATTGTAAATTTCATAGCTTCTTCCCACTCCACTCAAGAAGTGCCACCATGTCTTGTTTCCTTCAAGTAATTCTACTTTGAGAGTTCCATGGCGGTGTTCAGAATGGAGGTACCTTACTGGTTAATGAAGACTTATTTCTATTGTATGCTTGTTTTGTAAAAATGTAATCATTTGGGAACAGCCTTCAAAAGACACTGGTGCCTGCCCACATTTCTGCATTCAGGGGCCAATGACCCAAACTTATGGTTGGACTTCATCTCTTCTGTCAAGGCGAAGGGGAAAAAAATCAGTTTTAGTAAGTGGTTCCCGCTCTGACTGGCAAAGGAAAGGAACCAGCATGGGATTCTCATTCACTTCACCATGCATTTCATTTGTTTTTGCTGTCCACCCCAACCCAAACACACGGAAACCTCTGAATTGCCAGAAAAACTGCCAATTTTAATCTCTTCTCTTTCTACTCACATTATGGTTGTCCTGGTGCAAACCTTTGATTTGGGAAGGACTTACAAAATCCTCTTTGGTTTCTGCAGTTCTGTGGTTAAAATGTTAAGAGTTTATTCCTGAGAATACCCTGTGCTCAGAACGGCCTACCAGAGAGCATCACCCAGCCTTCCTCGCAAGCTGGTGGCCATGTTCACCCTGCCTGCCAAGAGCGAGACAGACAGACAGACACAGAATACACCCAGGCCTAGGTCAAGCTTTTCAGGTTGCGGGGATATAGCTACAGATCATTCATGAAATCCAGAAGCCAATCAGAAATGAACATGGGCTTGTTAAAACTAGAATCACGAAGGGTACAAAACAAAAAAACATATTGGCTGCTTGCTAAACAAAAATGTAATTACATTTTTATTTGAGTTAAGCTTTGCCCCTTCCTGCCTCCACCCCATGAAGAAATAACATTTCTTTCATCTTAAATGCAAGCTTTATGGAACTAAAATTCTGTTATTTCTAGGCTGCTACTCACCCACAATTCCTAAATTACACATTGCATTTCTATACATTATTTGTTATAGAATGTGTTACCTCCCTAGGTAACTTTTAGCAAACTGCTTCTTAAGGAAATAATATGGTAGGGGTTATTTTTTAAAAGAACAAACATGTATTGAACACTGAAAGTCCCAGGTACACTGATAAAAATAGAAATGTCTCATAAAAAAAATACTGAGTGATCTTTTAAGTAGATTTTAAATTATCCAAAAATGTGATAACTGCCGTTTGAGAAGCGAGCTCAGGCAGGCCCACCTTCTCTGGGCACTGGCTCCCGTGTGGCTGGCTCTCCGGGGCACACTGTGCTTGGCTGCAGTGAAAGCAATCCCCATCTCTGATTTTCACCCTCCAAGGTTTGCTTCTTACTGCCCCCATGTCCATGGCAGGTCAGCTGCAGCTGGGCTCCACTTGGGAACCTGCCTATAGCCCAAACTGCTTCTCTGTAATATCACTAGTCACAGTGTTAGAGGGAAAACAAGTTTCTAATTGGAAGTGACACATGTCACTTCCTTCATGTGTAGTTAGCCAAAGCAAGTCACATGAGATGGGGAAGTATAATCTTTTCCCAAAGTTATTTTTTAAATTTTTATTTTGAAATTATTGTATATTCACAGAAAATTGCAAAAATAGTAGAGAGGTCTTGTGCGTCCTTCACCCAATCTCCCCCAATGATAACATCTTATGTAACAGCAGCCTCCAGACCAGCAATGGACATGGGCACTGCCTGAGACCTCACTCAGGTTAGCAGCTATGTGTGCACACATTTGTATGTATGTTTAACTGTGTAATGCTGTCACATGTGTACACTTGTGTCACCACTGCACAATCAAGGTTCAGAATAGGCCCCGTACAATAGAGACCCACCCACCCCACCCTAGCCTCTGCCAACCACTGACCTGTTCTCCACTACAGAGCATTCCTGCATGAATGGCAATGCAATGGGACTTTTGGGGCTGGCTTCTTCACTCCCCACAACACCCTTGACAATGCCTTTCAAACCCATCCAAGTTGCAGGTATCAACAATTCATTCATTTGTGTTGCTGAGGAGTATTCTGTGCTGTGGATGTAGGGGGAATGCTTTCTGAATAACTGAGACTGGACCTCTGCTCACATCCTGTTTTCTTCAGTGTTAGGTGTGCAGATAGCACTTTTGTTTTCTCAGGTAGCCTGGAACGTTAGCTGTGGCCCTAGGTAGGATGCTGGGTTGAGCCAGGTAGAGGTCACCTGGGCTGTGTCCCTATCCTCCCTCCAAGAACAGGGAGAGGAGGAAAAATCCAGGAGGCTCTCAGACACTGGTTCTTGAGGAAAGTCTTGTCTCCTTGAGGGGTTGGGGTAGAGGAGGGGCTCCTCATGAGTCCTGCAGTCATCATGGAGAGCTGCAAGAAGAATCAGTCCATGCACAGAGTCAGAATGAGCCCATGTAGAGCTCAAGGTGGAGGCCAAAGTTCTGTCCAGTTTGGGTATTAGCCAAGCCACTCAGCTGTTTGCAGTTCTGTTTTCACCTGTGTTAAGTGAGAAGAATAGCTTAGATGGGTTCAAAGATTTCTTCCAACTACAATTCCACAGATTCAAGTTGGAAAAAATCCTGAAATCCATGATGCCCTGAGTAAGGAACACCCAGTGAGGCGCTATGTCCTCATTTGGGAAGCCAGGGAAAGCCCAGTGTGGGGGAGGGGAAGAGGGCACAGCTTCATAATCTACTGAGAAAAAATAAAGAGGGGAATATGACACAGGGTCCTTTCCTGCATTTACACATTATGATCCAGCCCGGAGTCATAATTTGCGTAGCAGCAAAACTCATTGGCCAAGCTCCGGGTATGCTCTGGAGTAAACCTGCACATCTTCACTCCAAGAAGTCTCATCGCTTCTTTCTCCATAATAGCACCTGAAGAGAACAAAGCAGGTGAACCCGAAGATGAATACAAGCATGCAGCCTATATTCAGGTGAGAAAATACCACTCAGAAAATGAGGCTGGAGGTCAGTCCTCCAGATTCCCTTTTATTTTCTCCAACATTTTTGCAAATGACTTACTTTCTTCCTTTTCTTTCTTAATAGTTCTCCTGTCTCTGCAAAGCTGAGACAGTTAAAGTTCTAGAAATAGATTATATCCCACTAAGTAACATAAGAAAAGCAAAAATAATTATTAAAAACTGGTATTTTCCACTTTGGTCACAAACCCCCTTTTCAGTAACATCCACTCAGGGTCTAATTGTAAGTGACACGTGTCACTTTCTTCATGTGTAGTTAGCCAAAGCAAGTCACATGAGATGGGGAAGGACAACCTTTTCCCTGAGAAGTTATTTTCTTGCAAACTTAACAGGAATACATTCACAGCAGCCTTTGGCTAACCAACCCGTTTCTCCCTCAGCCCTGTCCTCACCCCAGTGCCTGTCTTGCACAGCCCATTGCTGTGGACTTTGTCCCAGATGCTGCTAAGCACCCATCCCTCAATGCCCGTGGCAGCAAGTGCTGTACACACAGAAACCCAGGACTCACCCTGGATTCTACCCGTTCTCAGTTTCCACATGCAAAGCACAGCACATTCTTTCAGCTTCATCTCCAAGTATATCTTTCCTCTACCCCTACCTTCCTGTTCTACCACCCAACTTTGTCCAGAGTACTGTCTCAGCTGAATGCTATGTCCACTCACCCAATGAATCCCTGTTGGTACAAAGTTAGAGTGATCTTCCTTAAACAAATTGGATACTGTCTTTCGGGGCTGGATGCTTTAAAAGAAAATTCCAACCCTGACTGGCATCTGTATGTGTGGGGACCCTCTTACCCCAGCACCTGGATCCTTAGGACCTTCCCTTGAGGTCACTGCTGCAGTGCTGCTTGGCCCAGAGAACTACCCGATCTGCAGTACAGCCCCCGACTCTGTGCCACCTCGCCTTTCTGATTCTTTCCTATACTTATCACAATTAGGAACTCAATTTTTCCATCTGTTGTATTCACGTTTAACCTATCCCCTAAAACTGAACATATACTCCATGAGGTCAGGCACCTGCCTGTCTGCTGGAAAGGCTAGTCACAGCCAATTAATAAGTAAATATTATTTGTGTGAACAAGGTCACCTAGACTGTGTCCCCATCCTCCCTCCAAGAACGGGGAGAGGAGGAAAAATCCAGGAGGCTCTCAGACATGGTTCCTGAGGAAAGTTTTGTCTCCTTGAGGGGCTGAGGTAGAGGAGGGGCTCCTCAGGAGTCCTGCAGCCCTCCTAGAGTGCTGCAAGACGATGAGGCGTGTTCTTAGACTAAGTACAGCTCAACAATCAGAACAGCTCCAATGCTCAGCCCGGGTGCTCTGGGGAGAAACATGGCCACGGGGCTCACCCACAAGTGTGGGTGCAGGAACAGGGGACTGCACCTCAGGGCCTGGGCACTAGAGTGCCCAGACTAGAGAGGTAGTTACCATTTTACTGCTAGGTCAAATTTCAGTACATCCACCTTAAGAAAGCACATTCAGCCCTGGCTGGTGTGGCCCCGTGGACTGAGCACCAGCCTGAGAACCAAAGGGTCACCAGTTCGATTCCCAGTCAGGACACATGCTTGGGTTGCAGGCCAGGTCCCCGGTGGGGGGGTGCACAAGAGGCAACCACACACTGATGTTTCTCTCCCTCTCTCTCTCCCTTCCCCTCTCTAAAAATAAAAAAAATCTTTAATTAAAAAAAGAAAGAAAGCAAGCACATTCGTTGTATCTCAATGGCCCCAGAAAGAACACTGTGCTGCTGTAATAAACTTGACCTGATGCCTAGCTTGTAAACTCAGGCAATCCATGTTAACTCCACAGAGTCCACTTCTCTCTCAATGTGACCCCACCCCAGGTGTGGGAGGCACTCAGTCCTCACAGCCCAGAGAGACAGGCAGCATTACCAGCTACATTTTTAGAGATGAGGAAACAGGGGCAGAGAGAGGTTACAAAATCGGGTCAGGGTCAGAGAGTAAATGGTGGATTCACGATCTAAGTTCTAAGATCTCTTCCAACTCTTGACACCTGAGGATATCACCTACCTGTACACAACAGAATCTTGCCCCGAGTTAGGTACTTGACAGTTTCTGAGGTTTTTCTGAGACATTCCTCAGAAAGATAGGGGGGGTCCACTATGACAATGTCAAAACTATGAGCAGCGATCTTTTCAGGGAAGTCCAGTGGATTATTGTAATCATAGAAGACAAACTCCTCTCCATAAATGGCAAATCTTCTGTCATATTCAAAGATGTACACATCCAGGTCTTCTCTGTGCATCTCTCTCAGTTTCTGGTACACACTGGGGGTGCTCACACAGGCTATCCTGGAAAACAATGAGCAAGTGCATCAAGAGCTGTGGTGGACAGATGCCCCCATCAGACAACAGCATCACTGAAAACAGAGGTCCCTGCGCTCAGACCTCCCGAAAGAAAGTAACAGTGCAACTAACATGACAGCAGTAAATTCTCAGAGAAAACATAACTGCCTCACTTTTAAAAGAATCTGGTATTTAAAAATCTGCAAGTCATAATAGTAAGGTATGAAAAAGATAAATGTGCTTTTCATAGTAAAAAATTAAGACATAAGGACTCTATAAGGACAAAATTAGGTAGCCCAACCCTAAATTTATCTATTATTTTCATGGTCCTTTAACATTGATAACATTTATTTTAAATACTTTTAGTCTCAAATGAATTATTTTCAAGTTACTTTGTAACATGTATAATCTTGAAAGAAAAACCTCAAATAACTGCTTTAGTAACTCCAGTTTTCGAAAAAAGGTACATTAAAGTTAGGTCTCAGTGAAGAAAAGCTACTTTAAATTTCAGCTGCTTATTTGTACAAGGAAATTACCAGCAGCCTGCAGTTTATGAATCAATAGTGTTCCAATAGTTAACTTTTAAAACCAACTTCTAAAAAAGCTAGTAGTAACAAACAATGAACTATTGAATTGATTGTGGTCCATCTATTAAAAAGGATACTATACTATATAGCCATCACACCCCAATGCACTCCAGGAACATAAAGAGCAAAAAGCCACTTTCATGGGTATAAGAATATCCATTCAGAAGCACCAGATCCAGAGACCACAGCTGCCTCATGGGAGAACTGGAGGCCTGGAAATAATGAGAAAGGAAACTGACTCCCCCCCCCCCCCCCCCCCCGCCCCGCCAAATCCCCTGTATATAACTTTTAGATTTTTATCATGCATATGTATCATTTAAAAAAAGTATTTTGTTATGTAAATTACATTTTATTGTCATGCTATTACAGTTGTCTCAATTTCTCCCCATTTGCTCCCCTTTACCCAGCCCCAACCCACTCCCTCTGGCAACCCCCACGCCATTGTCCCCGTCCATGGATCATGCATGTATGTTCTTTGGCTACTCGATTCCCTATGCTGTATCTACACCTCCATGACTATTCTGTACTTTCTAATGCCTTCACCTTTTTCACCCATCTCCCTGAGCCCCCTCCCATCTGGCAATCATCAAAATGTTCTCTGTATTTATGATTGTTTCTCTTCTGCTTATTTTTTTAGAATCAATTGTTGATATATATTTACCATCATTTTATTGTTCATATTTTTGATATTATTATTATTATTATTAAAGAAAACCCTTTAACATTTCATATATTACTGGTTTGGTGATGATGAACTCTTTTAGCATTCTCTTCTCTGGGAAGCTCTTTATCTGCCCTTTTATTCTAAATGATAGCTTTGCTGGATAGAATAATCTTGGTTGTAGGTCCTTGCTTTTCATCACTTTGAATATTTCTTCCCAATCCCATCTAGCCTGCAAAGTGTCTTTTGAGAAATCAGCTGAAAGTCTAATGAGAGCTCCCTGTAGCTACCTGCTTTTCTCTTGCTGCTTTCAAAATTCTCTTTGTCGTTAACCTTTACCATTTTAATTACGATGTGTCTTGGTATGGGCCTCTAGGGGTTCATCTTGTTCGGGACTCTGTGTGCTTCCTGGGCTTGTATGTCCATTTCCTCCACCAAGTTATTCTGTCATTTTTTTCAAACAGGTTTCCAATTTCTTGCTCTCTCTCTTTCCTTTCTGGCACCCCTATGGTGCGAATGTTGGTATGCCTGAAGTTGTCCCAGAGGCTCCTTACACTATCCTCATTTTTTTACATTTTTTTCTCTTCTTTGTGTTCTAATTGGATGTTTTATGCCTCCTTATATTCTAAATCACTGATTTGATTCTCAGATTCAACTACTCTACTGTTGATTCCCTGTAAATTGTTGAATTCAGTCGGTGCACCCTTCATTTCCGAATGGTTCCTTTTTATGGTTTCTATGACCTTTATTATGCTCTTGAAGTTCTAAGTTCACTGAGCATCCTTATAATCAGTGTTGTGAATTATGCATCTAGCAGATGCTTGTCTCCATTTTGTTCAGTTTTTTCCTGGAGTTTTGTTTTGTTCTTTCATTTGGGCCATGTTCCTTTGTCTCCTCGTTCTGGCAGCCTCCCTGTGTTTGTTTCTGTATGTTAGGTAGATTTGCTATGACTCCCTGGCTTTGAAGAGTGGCCTAATGTAGTAGATGTCCGGTAGGGTCCAGTGGCACAGCCTCCCCTATCACCCAAACTGGGTACTTGAGGTACACCCACTGTGTTGTCTGTGTACACCCTCCTCTTGAAGTTGAGGCTTGACTGCTGTTGGCAGGTCAATGGAAGGGATTTACCCAGTTTGATCAGCTGCAAAGATTGGCTGTGACCACTGACCACCAACCTCAGACTACAATGGAGGATTGGCTGTGGAGCGGCCAATTCCACAGAGCAAGACTGACTTCAGCTGAGCTCTGGTGCCTACTGAGTCCGCCCCTTGAGTGTGTCGCCTGTGGAGGTGGTTGGGTGGTGGTGCTCCAACATGATCTGTAGCTGTCCATTGGGTAAGCAGGCTCTGGGGCCTCCTGCGTGGTGCAGGCAAGAATGCAAGCCATCACCTGCATTCTGTCTGAGGCCATCAGCATGAGCTACAAAGCAATCTGCAGTTAGCGCTACTTATATTATGTTTGGAGGTGCCCAAGCAAGTCCAAACTATGAACGAGCAACTCCTGCTAGTGCTGGCCTGGTGCCACTGAGCCATAGGCACAAAGCACGCTGAGGTAAGATGCTGCTTCTTTGTAAGAATTTAGAGAAATCTAAAGCCTGAGCTGAGGCAAGCAACTGAAAAGGAAAAACCACTGGAAACAGCCTGGGTGGAAGCTCAGGGAATCACCAGAGTAGGGCAAACAGTGTAAACCATATATATGGAGTCTCAGACATGGCACCTGCCTGCCTGCTCCACTAGGGGAAGGCTCAGAAAAGAAACAATGGCCTCTGTTAGCACTTCTGTTCAGAGAAAGCTGCTCCATGGCTCTCACCGTAATGCCAGACACTTCAGTTCCTTCCTGTATGCCTCTAGTGCCTTTCAGTCTGCTGCTCCCATGCTGGAGCTCAGAGGGAGTTTGAGTAAATCTGTGCATGGCCCTTTAAGAGAAACTGCCTAGGTCTCTAGCAGTTGTCTTCCACAGCCTCAATTCTCACTGGTTTTTACAGCCAGAAGTTATAGGGACTTATCTTCCTGGCACTGAAACCCTGGCCTGGGGGAGCTGGGAATCCTCACTCTCAAAATATCACTCCTAATTTTTATCTGCCACACGTGGCTATGGAACCAGCCCATTCTGCGTCTCTGCCCCTCCTATCAGCCTGATGTGCTTTCTTCTTTAATTCTGTAGTTGCAGGACTTCATTCAGCTCTATTTCTCATGGTTCTGAATAATGGTTGTTCTGCACTTTAGTTGTAATTTTGATGTGGTTGTGTGAGGAGGCAATCCAAGCTTACCCGCACAGCCATCTTGCCTCCAAAAAAATACTTCTTTTAAAAATTAATAATTAGCCCCTTACAACGTAACAGGTGCACTGAGGAAAAAAAAAAAATATGGCTCCAACGAAAGAACAGATCAAAACTCCAGAAAAAGAACTAAGTGATGAGGAGATAGATAACCTATCTGATGCAGACTTCAAACCACTGGTAAACAGGATGCTCACAGAAATGATTGAGCTCAGTTAAAAAATTAAGGAAGAAATGAAGGCTATATAAAGTGAAATAAAGGAAAATATACAGGGAACCAACAGTGAAGGGAAGGAAACTGGGACTCAGATAAACGATTTGGAACAAAAGGAAGAAATAAACATCCAACGGGAACAGAATGAAGAAACAAGAATTCAAAAAATTGAGGAGAGACTTAGGAACTTCTGGGACAACTTTAAATGCTCCAACATCCAAAACACAGGGGTGCCAAAGGGAAAGAAGAGCAAGAAATTGAAAAATTATTTGAAAAAATAATGAAGGAGAACATCCCCAGTCTGGCAAAGGAAATAGACTTCTAGGAAGTTCAAGAAGTGCAGAGAGTACCAAAGAAATTGGACCCAAAAGGGAACACACTATGACACATAATTATATTACCTAAGATTAAAGATAAGGAGAGAATCTTAAAAGCAGCAAGAAGAAAAGACAGAGTTACCTACAAAGGCATTCCCATAAGACTATCAGCTGATTCCTCAAAAGAAACCTAACAGGCAAGAAGGGGCTGGAAAGAAGGATTCGAAGTCATGAAAGGCAAGGACCTACATCCAAGATGACTCTATCCAGCAAAGCTATCATTTAGAATTAAGGGCAGATAAAGTGCTTCCCAAAGATGTTAAAGTTGAAGGAGTTCATCATCACCTTATTACATGAAAAGTTAAAGGGATTTATCTAAGAAATAGAAGAATATCAAAAACTATGAACAGTAAAACAACAACTCACAGCTATCAACAACTGACCATAAAAAACAAAAACTAAGGAAACAACTAGAACAGGAACAGAATCACAGAAATGGAGGTCAAATGGAGGGTTATCAGTTGGAAGCAGGAGGGAGAGAATGTGGGGAAAGGTACAGGGAATAAGCAGCATAAATGGTAGGCACAAAATAGACGGGGGGGTGTTAAGAACCGTATAGTAAATGAAGAAGCCAAAGAACTTATGTGTACAATCCATGGACATGAACTAAGGGGCAGGGGAAATGCTGGAGGGTTGGAGGTTACAGGGAGGAGGGGGAGAAAGGGGGGGAAAGAAATTGGGACAACTGTAATAGAATAATGAATAAAATATACTTTAAAATAAATAAAAATTAATAATTAAACCCAGCTTTAAACCTATGAGATGCATTTTTGAACACATGCAGGTTAGGCCTCCAGGCTGGCTAGACAGGCTGCTTGGCCCAAATACACTTGAAGTGTCTAACAGCCTGGTGATAACACACATGCTTCCACGGAAAACATGCATGTTCCAGTCTGGATGGCAAGGGCAAGAAGAACTGCTGTCAGAGTTCAGTGGGCTGGGGGAAGCGGGGGGCAAGGGTGTAGAGCCACCATGTCTTCACTGTCCTGAGATAACAAGCAGCAAACAGACACACAATAAGCTATTGCCTGAGAAAGAGGTGAAATATAGGCATTTTCAGACAAAATAAATCTGAGCTTGTTGCTGAGAGAATGTCTCTAAAGTATTCTGAAGGATGTACACAGGCATCAGGAAAGTATATGAGATGCAACAAGGAGGGAGCAGGTGTGGTGAACCCAGCAGGAGAGTGGAGTCTGTCATGGAGCAGTGGGGTTGGAGAGCAGTTCACCCCTAACTCACCTTGAGCAAGTGACTAAATCTCTTGGGCCTTATCTTCTGTCTTTAAAGAATGAAATGTTAACTACCTCACAAAGGTGTGAAAACAAGGTGGCCCTCGTAAAGTGCTGACACAGAATACAGGGGGACAGAGCAGGCAGTGAGTATTTAACAGACACTCCTACTTTTACTCATCTAAGATTATGGCACAGTTCCTGAAAATACGGAAGATGTCTGTCAGAAAAAATAAAAGGTTGCATCCAAAGCCCTTATATTAATGGGAAAAAACATAAAACATATGTAAAAACTCTGTCATTACAAAAAACTTAATAAACAACTACATATAATTTAAAAAGTAAAGAACAGACAAAAATAAAACTTGGGACTTCCAGTTACGGATGGTAGGTGGGACACATTTGTGTTGATTTGTGCCGTCATGATGGCCCACTCAATACAATACAAGTAAAATTCTGTTTCAATGTTGAAGCCTACACCTGTGAGAAAGAGACTATGAGGACACAAATGAAACCCACTTAGGAAGCTGGAAAGCAATGCAGGGTGGTAACTGGCTTGGGAGGCCCAAGACACCAAATCTCAGTAGCCAGGAAAGCTGGGAAGCAACCTGGTCTCCGTCACTGCACCCCAAAGGCTCAGGATGCTGCTGCCCAGTTAACTCAAGAAGTGGGCTGAAGGTCCATGTAAGAAGACAGTACTTCCCAGGCCTCTCCTCCCTCTCCCAGGCCCCCAGGTGTCCACCCTACATGACCGGAGGAAAACTGGAGGGACTGTCTCTGGCTTGGGGGACAATGAGGGGGTGCCGGCACAACTAGTGATGCAGTACTGTGTGGCAATGACAACAATTAAGTTAAACCTACTAGATGCTGGGACCTACAGTCCTCTCAGCTATGTGCCCCACCCCTTGCCCCCAGGATGATGTCACAACACACATAACTTTCAGGGAGGAATTAGAAGACTCTTTCTAGAGCTCTGACCAGCCCAAGATGAAATACCCAGAGAGAGTGAAACTGGGGGTTACCTAGGAAATAGCCTATCCAGGTCATCAGACTGCAAAGATCAAGTAGATAAGGTCTGCCATGTGTTAAGAGCTTTCAAACCTTAATGTGAACAGACAGAGAAGGTCAATAGACATTCAGGAAAAGCACCTAATATTAGAAACCAAAATAAACAAACAAACAAACAAACAAACAGAAAAGGCATCCTGGGGTAAACAGAAGAAAACTTTTTAAAAAATATACTGGAGTTAATATCCTCAGAAGGATGAACAAGATACAGTAGTAAAGAAATATTCAGTGACTCTGAAAGAGAGCTGTAGGTTACTACATATATGATACCAGAACTGGTGAACCCAGCAGAAAGTTTAGAAATAAAGTTGAGGACTTTTCCCAGAGAGTAAGGTGAAAAAGACAATAGATGGGAAAAAAAGACAGAAGAAAAGTAGATCTAACACTGAAATACTAACAGGAGTTCCAGAAAGAGAAACAGGAAAAAGGAGAAAATCAAAGAAATAACTTTAAGACAGTTCTTCCAAACTGGAGGAAATTAGAAAGAAAGGGCCCCTTCCCTCCAGCACAAGAAGGGAACGCTCTACACCAGGACACATCAAATACTGGGGATTAAGAGAAAATCCTAAATGTGTACTGAGCAAGGATGGGAGAATACAGATTTCCTAAAAGAACTCAGAGCAGCATGGGATTTCTCAATAGTACCTATGAATACTTGGAGGCAGTGAAACAATGTCCTCAAAATCCAAATTACACACGAGCAAAACTGTTACAATCCAGAGTAGGGGAGAATAAAGGTATTTTTAGACAAGGCTTTAAAAATTTGCCTCCCACATCTCTTTTCTGTGGAAACTATTAAAGGATGGACCCAACCCAAACAAGGCTGCAAGCTGAGAACTGCGGTACAGGAACCTGGGAATCCAGAATAAAAGGAAAAAGGATCCTCAGCATGATGGTGAAGGGAGATGCCAAGATAAGAGCTAGAAATCAAAGAGTCCAGCTTGGAACAGGTGGTAAAGCCCTGGGGTAATTTTTTTTCAAGGAGTTAAATTACTTTTGCATTTATAGATAGGAGATTTATACAACTAGGGGAGAATTTGAGGGTTAATAAGTGATATGGACATAGAAACACATACAAAATAGGAGACATTTCCTTCAGAAAAAAAATGAAAAATTTTACAGTACAAAAAAAGTAAAAGCCTCAGCTGTAAAGAACACTTATGTTTTCATAACTACATTAACCTCATTTTGGCCCAAATCAAGGAAAAACTACTGGGAGCATAGACAGAAAGCATGAACGTTTGTGGAAGTGGTGAAGTCTGAAAGAGATAAAGCCTAATTTTCTGTGGTAAGAAGTCAGGAACCAATGTCACAAATGATAAATCCAGAAGGGCCAACATAAGTATATTATTTAAAAACATGGTTGTACCATTATTATATGAGATGTTAAAGGGACTTATTTAAGAAAAAGAAGATCAAAACTAAGAAGAATACGCCCTGGCTGGTGTGGCTCAGTGGACTGAGCACCGGCATGCAACCAAACAGTCGCAGGCTCAACACCTAGCAGGGCAAATGCCTGGGTTGTGGGCCAGGGCCCCAGTAGCGGGTGCTCAAGAGGCAACCACACATTGACGTTTCTCTCCCTCTCTTTCTCCCTCCCTTCCCCTCTGTAAAAATAAATAAAATATTTTTTTAAATAAACTAAAAACAATAAAATGGCAAAAAATACTTACCTATCAACAACTGAGTCTAAAAAACAAACTAAGTAAACAAGAAGAACAGAGACGGAATCATGGATACGGGGAACATTTTGATGGTTGCCAGATGGGAGGTGTGTGTAGGGGAATGGATGAAGAGAAGAGGGGATTAAGAAGTACAAATAGGTAGTTACAGAATAGCTATGGGAATGAAAAGTACAGCATAGGAAATGGAGTAACCAAAGAACTTATACGCATGACCCATGGACATGAACAGTGGTGTAATTAACAAATGTAATTAAAAATAAAAAAATATGGTTGGAAATACCAAAGAATCTATAGAAGGGAGCTGAAAAGAGGAGGAGGTGGGCAAGGGGGAAAAATTAGAAATGGAGATTTTTTTTTTAACAAGACTTTAGGACCATTTGACTTTTAATTACATGTATTTAAAGTTTTGATAAAAAAAAAGTTTAAAAAAGAAAACCTACATTCTTAAAACTTCAAAAAGTCAAGTATTAGGGGTATAAAAGTAAGAAGCAGGTTAACAAATTTTTAAAAAAGGACACAGGAGGTATGGGGTATAAGGGGATTAAATGGTAATGGAAAAACTATGATAAAGATTAAACTAAAAAATAAAAATAAATTTAAAAATTTTTTTAAAAGGACAGAGATAAGATATTTTACAATGAATACAATTCTGGGTATCTCCAAACTTGTCATTGCTGCATTTTTTATTCCTCATACCATGAACTACAAATTATGCAGATTATGATTCAGACTTGTTACAAAGCATTTCTCATCTAAGAAGGAGAGTTAAAATATTCAGATTAAAACAAAAAAACAAAATTTGATTCTCACCTTCCACCTTCCCCAGCAGCTGCAATCACTTCCTTAGCAAGCCTCAAAGCAGTTTCCTGACTGTACCAAAACTGGCTCAATTGCTGTAACAGAGGGATGAGTTGAAATCACTTAAGAATTAATATAAATTTTTTTCCTTCAATTTAAACCTGTGCATATATTTAAATTTTTTCCTTTTTTTCTCTATAAAACCGATTTCAAGGAAATTATTTTTTTTACTTTACTTTTATTCTTTACACTACTACAGATGTCCCCATTTTCACCCCCTTTGCTCACCGCCCCACTGCCCTCAGCAGCCCCTTTCCTCTGGCCATCACTGTTGTCTGTGCCTGTGCTTTATGCATATATAGCTCTTTGGCTAATCCAGTCCCCTCTCCCGCCTCCCCCCACCCCCCACCCCCCAACAGCTGTCAGTCTGCTTCATTAATAGAAGGCTGGGGATCCAAGATGGTGGGTGGGTAGGTGGAAATTACACTCAAGTTTTCCCAGAACCATAGTGGAATTAGTACTAAATTACAGAACAATCAACTGAATAATAAACTTAAGACTACCTGAAGAGAAGTTTTATAACCAAGGATTTATAGAATAGCCACATCAAGACTGGTAGGGCAGAAATACAAAAAGGGCTGGCCCCTACCACACACACCCAGTCCCAGCACAGCAGCCACCAACTGTGGATTGCTTTGTAGCTCCTAACAGATAGCCCAGGTCACAGGCAGCATCTGACTCTGACTTGCATAGGAGTCTCTATCAAGAGGCCCCCAAACCAACACAACCAGAAAATGACTTCAGATCATATCAGAGCACCACCTGATTAGCTCCACAACAGGCACACCCAGAGGGAGCTTTCAGTATGCACCAGACCCTGCTGGGGTGAATTTGGTTTCATGGCATCAGCCCCTGTTCAGCAGCTTGTACACTGGTCAGGGTCAATTCTCATAATCAGACAGTCTGACAGTCAATGTCACCCAGGGATGGGCCAACAGCGATCAAGACTCAACTCTTGCCCTGGCCTGGTGGTTCAATTGGTTGGAGCATTGTCCTGCACACCAAAAGACCAGGTTTGATCCCTGGTCAGGGCACATACAGGAGGCAATCAATCTACGTTTCTCCCCTACATTGATGTCTCTCTCTCTCCCTTCCTTTCTCTCTAAAATCAATAAAACATATCCTCAGGTGAGAATTTTTTTTAAATGTTTTTGAAAAAAAAGACTCAACTACAACAAGAGGGCTTGCATAACCTAAACAAGGGTCACTCCTAGAGTACCCAGCTCAGCTGAACAGGGAGGCTGCGCTACGGGGTTTCCCAGGACACCTACTACATAAGGCCACTCTACTAAGGCTGGCAGACATACCAGATCTACCTAATACACAAAAACAAACACAGAGAGGCAGCCAAAATGGGGAGACAAAGAAATATGCCCCAAATGAAAGAACAGGAGAAAACTCCAGAAAAAGAACTAAATGAAATGGAGGCAAGCAAACTACCAGATAAACAGTTCAAAACAATGGTTATAAGGATGCTTGAAGAACTTAAGATCGAATCAATGACTTGGAAGACAAGGTAGCAGAAAACACAACCAGAGCAGCAAAGATAAAAAAGAATTTTTAAAAAATGAGGATAGTTTAAGGACCATACTTTAAGTATGTTTAAGTATAACATCTGCATCATAGGATATCAGAAGGAGAAAAGAAAGAATAAGGGATTGAGAAACGATTTGAAGAAATAATGACTGAAAATGTTCCTAACTTGGTAAAGGGAAAAGACACACAAGTCCAGGAAGCTCAGAGTCCCAAACAAGATAAAACCAAAGAGACCCACACCAGGATACATCATAATTAAAATGGCAAAGGTTAGAGACAAATAAAAAATCTTTAAGCAGCAAGAACTCCCATAAGACAGTCAGCTGATTTCTCAACAGAAACACTTCAGGCCAGAAGGGATTAACAAGAAATATTCAAAATGATGAAAAGCAAGGACCTACAACTAAGTCTACTCTACCCATGTAGGATATCATTCAAAATTGCAGGAAATTAAAGAGCTTTCCACACAGGAAAAAGATATAAAAGTTCATCACCACCAATATAGTATTACAAGAAATGTTAAAGGGACTTCTTGAAGAAGAGGAAGAAAAAGCAGCAGCAGTAGCAGCAGGAGGAAAAAGAGGAGGAAGAATAAAGACGGATATAAATGTATATAATAAAATGACAAGAAATACATTCCTATCAATAATCACTTTAAATGTAAATGGATTAAATACTCCCATCAAAAGACATCGAACAGCTGACTGGATAAAAAAACAAGACCCACATATACGATGTCTATGAGAAATCCACTTCAGATCAAAAGACAAAGGGATGAAAAAAATATTTCATGCAAATAGAAACAAAGAAAAAGGCTAGGTACAATATTTATCAGACAAAATAGACTTTAAAGCAAAGGATATAATAAGAGACAAAGAAGGACATTACATAATAAAGAGATGAATCCAACGAGAGGATATAAGCCTTGTAAATATTTATGCACCCAACATAAGAGCATCTAAATTCATAAAGCAAATCTTGATGGATATAAAGGAAGAGACTGACAGAAATACAGTCATAGTTAGGGGACTTTAACACACCACTGATATAAATGGATAAACCTTCCAAACAAAAATCAACAAGGGAATAGTGCCCTTAAATGACAAACTAGATCAGATGGATTTAATTGATATGTTCAGAGCATTTCAGAGAGGGAGAGAAACAGCAATGTATGAGAGAAAATTTGATTGGTTGCCTTTTGAACACTCTCAACTGGGGACCTGGCCCGCAACCCAGGCACATGCTTGGACAGGGAATCAAACAGGTGACGTTTTGGTTCACTGGCCAGCACTCAATCCACTGAACCACACCAGCCAGGGCTTGGTTGCATTTTTAAACACCGATCATGAACTATCACAAAGGGAAACTAAGAAAACAAATGCATTTGTAACTGCATCAAAAAATAAAACACTTTGGAATAAATTTAACCAAGGTAGTAAAAGATCTGTGCTAAGAAAATCATAAGACACTGAAGAAAGAAATTGAAGACAAAAATCAATGGAAGTATATACCATGTTCATGAATAGTAAGAACAAACATTATTAAAATGTCCATACCACCCAAAGCAATCTACAGATTCAATGCAATTTCTATAAAAATACCAGTGGTATTTTTCACAGTATTAGAACAAATAATCCAAAAATTATGTGGAACCACAAAAGATCCCAGATAGCCAAAGTAATCTTGAGAAAGAACAAAGTTGGAGGAATCACACTACCTGATATTACATTATATTACAAGGCTACAGTAATCAAAGCAAACACATAGATCAATGGAACAGAACAGAGAACCCAGAAATAACCCACATTTACATGGTCAATAAATATATAATAAAGGAGACAAAGAACACACGATGAGGTACAGACAGTCTATTCAATAAATGGTGTTGGGAAAACTGGACAGATAAATGCAAAAAAATAAAACAAGACCACCTTCTTACATCACATACAAAAATAAACTCAAAATGGGTTAAAGACTTTAAATGTAAAGACTTGAAACCATAAAAGTCCTAGAAGAAAACACAGGCATGCCCTGACTGGTGTGGCTCAGTGGACTGGGCACTGTCCCACAAACTGAAAGATAGCCAGTTTTGATTCCAGGTCAGGACACATGCCTGGGCTGCAGGCTAGGTCCCTGGTTAGGGGCATGAAGAAGGCAACTGATAGATATCACACTATCTTCTCTCACACGTCGATGTTTCTCTTCCTCTCTTTTTCCCTCCCTTCCCCTCTCTAAAAATAAATAAAATCTTTAAAAAAAAAAACATAGGCAGTAAAATCTCTGACATTTCTCTTAGCTATATATTTTCTTATATACCTCCTTGGGTAAGGGAAACAAAAGAAATAAACAAATAGAATGACATCAAATTAAAAGTTTTTGCACAGCAAAGGAAACCACCAACAAAATGAACAGACAACCTACTGAATGGGAAAACAAATTTGCCAATGATACATCCTATGAGAGGTTAATATCCACAATTTATAAAGAACTCATACAACTCAATATCAAAAGACCAAACAATCTGATTAAAAAGTAGGCAGAGTACCTGAACAGAAACTTCTGCAAAGAGGACATCCAGATGGTCAACAGACATATGACAAGATGTTCTGTGTAGAGGGCCACTTTGAGTGGTATTGGGAACTGGAGTCCCGGGCAAGCTGGGGCCTGGGAGAGGACCCGTAAGCCTTGGCCTGAACACTGTAAGACCTGATAATAACTCCGAGGGCCCCTGGGGGACATCTGACTTTCCCTCAGCCGGGAAGGGGGGCGTGGCAGGGGGTTTGAAGTAAATTACATTCCTTGAAGCATGGTTTGTTTCTCCTTCAAGCTCTGTTAATCTTATACCAGAAAAGCAGCTCAAGGCTGGGAAAGAAATTTACAAAATTCCTGGAACCTGATCCAAATCCCACCTGGCGCCATGATGTTTGCTCAACTTGGACCTAAAGCAGTTTGGTGTGTTCCTGCCATTGTCATCTTTAAACAACAGCTATTCTCTGTAAGCTTAAGCTACTGATGTAATTAGATTACCTATACATTCCTTCTACCTATCCCCTGCTTGTAACTCTCTCAATAAAAGCCATTGAACACAGGGGCTCGGGGCATTCTCCTTTAGAAAGAATTGTCTTCCCCTTTTCTTGACAAGCAAACAGTGTCTGGAACGACTCATTCTTTCAACTGTGGCGAACTGGGGGACTTCGCAGGCCGGAGTCCCCCATAGTTCTGTGTCACTAATCATCAGAGAAATGCAATTTAAAACAATGAGATATCACCTCATACCTGTCTGAATGACAATCATAAATAACTCAAAAAACAAGTTTTGGTGAGGATATGGGGAAAAGGGAACTCTTGTGCCCTACTGGTTGGGAATGCAGATAGATGTAGCCACTGTGGAAAACAGTACGGAAGACACTCGAAACAATTAAAAATGTAACTGCCTAATGACCCAGCAATTCCAATTCTGGGTATATATACAAAGAAATCCAAACACTAACTCAAAAGAATATACACATCCCTGTGTTCACTGCAGTGTTTTTCACAACAGCCAAACTACGGAAGCAACTCAAGTAGATAAAAGTAGATAAAAAAGTTGTGGTACATATATGCAATGGGATATTACTCAGCCATAAAAAATAATAATAATAATAATGCTGTCTTACCATTTGGGACAGCTTGGTTGGACCTAGAAGGTATTATGCTAAGTGATATAAGTCAGACAAAGAAAGACAAACACCATATGATCTCACTCTATAGAGCAACATAAATAACCAAAAATAAATTAGAAACAGACTGATACAGAGAAGAGACCGATGGTTTCCAGAGGAGAGGTGGGTTGGAGGACTGGGTGAAAACGTTGAAGGTATAAAAATGTATAAATTGGTAGTTACAAAATAGTAATGGGGATGTAAAGTAGAGCATAGGGAATATAGTCAATAATGTTCTAACAACTATGTATGGTGCCAGGGGGTACTGTAAATATTGGGGGCACCACTATGTAAAGTATATGATTACCTAACCACCATTCTGCACACTTGAAACTAATATAAAATAATACTGAATGTAAACTTGGAATTGAAAAATAAAATTTAAAAAAACAAATAAATTAACAAAAGGCCCTCACTAATTGCAAAGTGGAGGCATTTTGCACCATGGGCTGTTCACACCACAGAAGGCGACAAGCAATCAATGCTTCTCCTGATGGAAGAACACACCCTACCTGTGTATGAGTCCTGCCCCGCCCCCCACCAAAATACTAACTGTGAATCTGATTAAGCCACTAGATTCAACTATCAACTAACAGAATTACAGAGGACTGTGTTATACCAGTAGGGCACAAGAGTTCCCTTTTCCCCATATCCTCACCAAAATACAGTCAGGTTAGGAGTTTTTCTCAACTCATTATTTTTCTCTTCTACTTTCTATTTTTATTTGGATCATAAAATACAATTAAAATACACAGTATGCACCAGAAACTATTAATATCAAGTGAACTCCCCTTCATTGTTTCACTACATGTTTAAGTTCAGTTATAGCATTTACTGCCATGACACTTATTACAGAGAATATGTTAAAGGACACCACAAAGATGTCCAGTCCCTACCTCTTTTCTGTGGCCTCTTTACCTGAGAAATACTTCCTGAATTATCTGCTTTTCCCTAAGGGTGAAGTTGTTTGTTTTTCATCTTGCTCCTTTCTATGCATGCTGATTATTTCCTTTTAAATTTCTAGTGATTATTAATTACTCACATTTAGAAACTGTCTTATTTTAGTGGAGAAAGTAGATTCCTCTGCAATGCAATAGGCCCATTTCTCCCCTGATGGCAGGGCCAGGGGCCAGTGGTATTACTGACATCTCATAAACCCAGAACAGAGACACAGTATTCAAAAAATTAAACAGAAGGAAAAGAGAAAGGGTAGACTATTCAAGGATACTGCAGCTCTTCAGATTTCTGATGTTGTACTATCTATCTAACAGAAGCACTTGCTAGAAGACAAACACACAAAGAAGCAAACAGTGGGAAAGAGGTTTTGGGTAGGTCAAACATTCAGAGTAATGGAAAGAAACATTTTCATCGGGTCAGTTTCAAACAGATGGTAAATAGGAACACTTTATACAAGAAACTCAAACTTGACAAAATGTAAAAGACTATATAAAAGGAAACCAACAAGCATATGCAAAGCTTCATTCCAGTTGCAAAGGAATAGAGTAAGACAAATCTATTACCTGGGGGAATCATAGAAAATTCAAGCATCTATTTCTCAACTACATCCTTCAACAAATTTAAATTTCTACGTCCCAGCTCAGGTTAGGAGTTTTTCTTAACTCATTATTTTTCTCTTCTACTTTCTATTCTTATTTGGATAATAAAATACAATTAAAATACACAGTATGCACCAGAAACTATTAATATCAAGTGAACTCCCCTTCATTGTTTCACTACATGTTTAAGTTCAGTTATAGCATTTACTGCCATGACACTTTGCCCTTGCCACAGGATTGCTGGTCTGTATAAAAACCATCAGCGTGTGCCTACATACAGGAAGGTATCCCAACATTATGTTGGCTATAATAACATGCCATTCCCGTCTGAGAAGTCCTGTCTGCTAATTGTCAACCAGCCAGAGAGTTCAGCCCCAGGAAAATCTGCATTTGCACCATCTTAGACTATTCCTGGACTGCTTTCTGTCCCAGTTCCCCAATTAGGTTATCAGCTCCCAAATGGCAGGGGACACACTTGGGTACCAGATGGGATATAGACAAACATGGACTAGGTCCAGAGCAGGTGCCATACCACTATTTCCTGGTAGATATGGGATGCATTTACTCACCCAGTTCTCTTCTATCTTCCCAATGCTGTATTTGTCATCCCCACTTGGACCGCTGTGCTGCTTCTGCTCAGCATAAAATTCCTGGAGAGCTGCTAAGGTGTGGAAAGAAAGCTGGGGAACATCGTCATCTTCCAAGTCACTCATCTCACAAATTGTCTATGGCCTGCAGTGCAGATAAGTGAAAGTGCTTCTTCCCATCAAATAACAAAGAAAAAATGTTTATCTCACAGCAAAGTTCCAAACTGAAAGTGAGCTTTCTAAAAAAGGCAAACATATTTAAAAGAGATCAAACATCTACAGAGGTCTTCCATTTAACAAATGCAGAGTTGCTCTTTAAAGATACTTAGTTTTTACAAATGCAATTTTCAGATTTTTATGATAATTTGTAGAGCAAAAATTTTCATAAGTATTTAAAAACATTTTGCTTCTTCTGGTACTCCAATAGCAATGTGCAGATAGTTCACAGTAGATTCTCTGAATCAGAGATCTTTTTATACTTGAACATTACTGCTTAGGTCCTAAGGCTCCTGGGTGTTATTGATAGGATAAATAAAGGACTGATTGAAGAAGAAAAAGAAGACAACAGAAAGAGCTATGAAAAATAAAAGGGATAACAGAAGAAGGGGAGGAAGAAAAGTAAAACAAAGGGAGAAAAGGAAGGTGTTTTTGTGGGAATGCATGGCCAGGCACAATTACTTCTTTAGGTACCCCCCAATCAGTGAACACAGCCAGGTCTGTCCAAGACCTCCAACAACTGCTCGTTCCAGGGCTCCCCAAACCACCCTCATGTTCAGTGATTTGCTAGAAAGCCTCACAGAACTCACTGAGGGCCATTATACTCACAGTTATTACAGGGAAAGGGTACAAACTAGAGCCAACCAAGGAAGAGATGCACAGAGTCCAAGAACATTGCAAACAGGAAGCTTCTATTGCCCTCAGGAGGTACTACCCTTCTGGCATCCATGTGTGAGCGTCAGGATCTAGTTTGTATTAAGGCTTCCATGGCATTGCCATGATTGACTGAATTACTGCCCACCAGGTTGAAGTCAGTGCCCAGCTCCCGTCCCTGAGGTTGGTATAGCTTGAAGGTCCTCCACGAATAACAGACATTTCTATTGCTTAGGAAAATGTTTACAGGTTACCCGTCAAAGGCCAAACCTCTATCTGGGGGAGGTAAATTCCTTACTACACAGGAACCAAACACATTTATAAATCAAGTTATTCTTGGCACAGACATGGCATACCATTTGCTTTTTAAAACACTGTCTAAATGTTACAGCAAGTGAAGTGTTAAAGGTCAGCAGAAATTATTCAAGAGCTTTGTCATGTTGCCCCCATTCTACTCTAAGGCCTATGTGAATGTATCTGATCCAGTCTTGGCCTCAGGCCCCAGCCACCAAGGGCAACTGGAAAAGCAAGACTTAGAGGAGGAATTCCCCAGGCCTAGGAAGAATGTGTAAAAAATGCCGAGTAGCCATTTAAAATGAGAAATGTCTCTTGATGGTACTTTTTTCTTCCTTTCAAAATCAAAAAGCCAGACTTTCCATATAAAATCCTACAAACAAAAACAAAACCTGGTATGTACCAACTATGGACAAACAAGTGTATAATCACAAATCTCAAGAATGTGTAAGTCACAAAGTTACAGAATACATATAGTATAACTGAGTCCACTTAAATGAAGTTCAAAAACACACAGATAAAAGCAAGTGAATAAAAAACTGAAGATTAAAGATAGCGCTTCCTCCTGGGAGTGAGGGATGGGCTTGGAAAGAAGTACACATAAAAATTTCTTAAATGTTTATTACGCATTGGCAGAGACCTGTGGATTTGATCCTGTGAATAAAAAGTACCTGAAATGGCTTCCAGTTTGATGCCCCCTGTGAGTACTGAAGGACTGAAATGAATCATTTTAGTTTACTGGAAAAAAAAGAATAAATTTCCAGCAAAGCACACTAGGCTAGAGCATTTCCAAGAGGAAATTCCACAGATTATTGTGTGCAAGAGAAACTGAAACAGCACAGCAAACTGATTGCAAACCACTAGGAGGTTTCATTTTGGTTGAGTATTTCAGGAATGAATGTTTCTTTCATTTGGGAAAAGAACTGAGCAACTATTAAAATCCAGTGCCTCACAGCAGAGATGAAGAGTAACAGCTGTTCCTGATTCAAGCTGTATGACCCTGCCTAGAAGAAGAAAGAAGAAAGAAGAAAGAAGAAGAAGAAGAAGAAGAAGAAGAAAGAGAGAGAGAGAGAGAGAGAGAGAGAGAATATGTCCAGATACATCCCTACACACACATATGTATATCCTTATTGTAGACAGGAATATTTGAATTTTTATTTATTAATACTAAGAAGCAGTTTCCACAGCAGCATCTCTGGAGAAGGGCTTTTAAACTGCAGCTTGAAACGTGTTATCAAGTCATTTAGAAATAAAACATGAAAATTATAAAAAGAAACCAGTTGACTTTAAAAGGCAAAACAAAGAATTCTAAAGAGCAGTTTAAGTAATCTGTCTTTCATAGCTGTAAAAAGAATTAAATTTCAATCTATATTTTAGCATGAGTCTTATTTTAAAATGTTTTTTAAAAAGTTTATTTTAAAGCTGATCAATTTGATAATTGTTCATTGAGGCCCTGCTTTGTACTAAGCACTGTCTTGGTAACAGGAATCACAGTCCCTCTCTTCTTGGAGCTCACATTCTATTGAGGCAGAGATAGATCATACACAGAAATAAATTATATGCTGGACAATGAAATATAAGATCAATGGAGGAATATTTGGAGTAGGGGCTGCAATATTAGCAATCACAGACTGTTTCCTACATCACTGAAGTGAGTTAAGAGTGCATCACTTGTTACATGGGAAAAATTAGTGATGTAATACACATCACTAAAGACTAAATTAAATGAACTTCTATGTGTTAATTTTTTACTTGTCACTAATCTATCATATCTTTAGTGTTATGTAAATTTCCTGAGTGGGTTTGTGAAATAGCTGGGAAAGAGATTTTCAAGCCCAAAAGAGCTGGTAAGTGCTGTCACATTACTAAACTGACATTCAGTCTTACGTGGCACTCACAGAAGGGGAACATCTGGCTAAGGATGGAAACATTTTTAGTTGCCATTAACTAGGAAGGGTACTGCTCACATCTAGTCAGTAGAGGCCAGAGAAGGTGGTCAACTCCCTGCAATTTATGACAACTCTCCACCCCAAAGAGCTATGTGACCCGAAATGTCTACAGCGCTAGGGTGGAGAAACTGCTCTGTGATGATGTGTGAGCCCGCTGTTAGAGAAGCTGCATTTAGTGTCATGGATCAGAAAAAAGAGCATGTATAGGTGGAAGGTGAAAGTGAGGTGACGGGTGGATTATCTTGGCCTTGAGGAAACGGTTGCAGAAGAAACGGCATGATGGCAAAAGGAACAGCACGAGAAAAGCCTGGGCATGTTCATGCACCGCCTCCGCAGAGTAAACAGGCTCCTAATGAGCTGTGCCCTCACTTTGTTTCCTTAGACAGTACTTGACTCAACATAATTAAAGTAGTTAACAAAGGAATGTGTAAAAATTTTCAATTTCTGTATGTCAACTTCGCATAAACACACGCCCTCCGCCCTCCACTGCATCAAATCGTACAGGCTCCTATTACGTCTGCAGGTGATTCTGGGAAGGAATGGGTGAAGAGTAAAGGGCATTGACCGGGATTCCCCCCACATCCAGGGTCGCCTACGGAGAAGAGCCTCCTCGACTCCGAGTCAGGAAGGGACCGCAGTCCCTGACTTCTTTCCCGTCTCCACACAAGGACTTACCTCGCCTTCTAAAGCTCTACTCACGTTGTTGCTTTCAACTCTTAAGAAACTAGGTACAAGCTGTGTACAGTGGGATATGATCAGGAATATCCAGTTGTGCCCTCTGCCCCCCATGCAACCACAAGGCAGCATTCCAGCCTCTACATCATCGCTGCGTGAAGTCACGGCCAGACCCCTCCTAGTGACCCTCCAATCTCCGATCCCAAGCACCGAAGGGCCTCCAGCCCCACCCTCCTCTATACCCCACAGACAGGGGCGGGTCGCCAGGCAAGCTCAGCCACCACTGGCTTCCCCTTCTCCCCAAACACCTCCGGAAACAGGGCGCACAGTGGACACGTGGGTCCACTCACCAGCACGCGGAGGAAGTCGCCTAGATCCGGGCTGTGGGCGGCACCGCTGAACCGCCCTTGCGCCTGCGCACACCCCCAGCTAGAGCGCCTGCGTACCATGCCCACGTTAGTAATGCGCAGGCGCAGGCTGGTGGTGCGCTGCTCCCTTCAAGAATGGTGGTGAATTAAGTTAAAATTTAAGGTTCTCACTACATCCCCTTCCAGAGAAACACAAGAAACCTATTTGCTCTTGGGTAGATGTACATTTCACAAGCATCAAGGCTTCCTTGGCCCGTCTACTCAGCCTTTAAAAAAAAAATTATTTTTAGAGGGGGATAAGGGAGAGGGAGTGAATGATTGCTTGCCTTGGTATGCCCCAAACTGCCTCCCGGGCACGTGCTCTGACCAGAATGGAACCCGCGACCTTTCCCTTTTCAGAACACCCAACTAACAGATCCACACGCTATTAAGTTCAGTCTTATAATAGAAATCAAGACATGAGAGGCTTTATCATATTGATAGGATTAGAAAAACTTTTTTACACCCTCCACCATAATCACATTTCCTTCTCAGACTCAACATGGCTACCAGGTCCAGCAATCTTCATTTTACACTGGAGCTGACAGCTAAGAAGGAGACATCTGGTCAGTGAGCAGAGGAAGTAGTTGTCTCCATGCACAAACAAGGCCAGCTACTGGTTTGGCAAAAAATATATAATTATTAGGCAGCAACATTTCTCTGTAGTAGTGGGGCATTTGGCGTGAACCTCCCAGATCCTTCCAAGTTGAGGGCATTCCTCAGTACATATTAAAACGTCATGCTTCTGGTCAAGATGGAGGCGTAGGTAGACAAGCTTCGCCTCACTGCACAACCCTAAGAAGGACTACAACTAACTTAAAAATTATAAACACCCACGACTGCCAGAAAACCACCCAGAACTGTACAGAAGTCTGACAACCAATGATTTAAAGAAGGTATATCCACCCAGACGGGTAGGAGGGGCAAAGAAGTTGTGGTGTGGTGGCTGCCAGGATGCAGCAGCTGGTAGAGGTTGGCCCGACATTCACATGTGGTGGATAATAATCAGGGTGACACCTTGTGAGCCAGTGATCCCAGCCCCAGGAGAGACTGGGCAGCTCAGCGTCCCCGTGCTGGGAAAAATAAGGCTCCGTAACTTCTGGCTGTAAACCCAGTGGGGGCTACGATGGCGCAAGAAACTGCTGGGTTCTCAGGAGAGCTTGGAACTAGGAAACACAATCAGGTCAGCAGCTGGAGGGGAGCCAGTAGCATAGGGAAGTGGGTGAAGTGTCTGGAAAAGGGGCAAGTGGGAGGCAAGCCCACAGAAGACAGCCAGCAGCAGCATTGTTACCTCTCCAACCCCTCCCCCCTACACGGAGCCAGAAAGCAGCCAAGCAGGTTGCGCCACCTTGGCAATGCCCAAGGCTCTGCCCTATACAACTTAACAGGTGAGCTAAGGCAGGAAATCAAAGCTGCTCTACAAGTAACAGAACCCCCCAAAAAGAACTAAGCAACTCTGGGATAGCCAACCTATCAGACAGAGTTCAAAACACTGGTGATCAAAATGTCAAAGATCCCACTGAATAAGGTAAAATGACAAGGGAGAAATGAAAGCTATACTAAGGGAAATAAAGAAAAATCCACAGGAAACCTACAAAAAAGGGAAGGAAGCCAGGATTCAAATCAACAATTTAGAACTTAAGGAAGAAGAACATTCAACCAGAACAAAATGAAACAAGAATTCAAATAAATGAGGAGAGTTTTAAGACGACTCTGGGACACCTCCAAAAGAGCCAACATCCAAATCACAGGGATGTCAGAAGAAGAGGAAGAACAAGAAATTGAAAACTTATTTGAAAAAATGAAAGAAAACTTCCCTAATTTGGCAAAGGAAGTAGATAAGGCCAGGAAGCACAGAGTGTTCCAAACTTGTACCTAAAGAGATCCACACCAAGACATATCATAATTGAAATGGCAATAGTTAAAGGTAAAGAAAGAATCTTTACAGAAGCAAATGAAGAGTAGAGTTACCTACAAAGGAGTTCCATTAAGACAATCAGCTGATTTCTCAAAAGAAACTTTGCAGGCAAGAAGGGATTGGCAAGAAGTATTCAAAGTGATGAAAAGCAGGGACCTACCAACCAAGATGACTCTATTCAGCAAATCTATCATTTAGAATGGAAGGATAGATAAAGTGCTTCCCAGACAAGGTAAAGCTAGAGTTCATCATTTCAAGCCCTTATATGAAATGTTAAAGGGTCTTATTTAAGAAAAACATCAAAACTATGAACATTAAAATGACAACAAACTATCAACAACTGCATCTAAAAAACAAAAACTAAGGAAACTACTAAAGTCATTTGGAGGGTTATCAGCTGGGAGGGGAAAGGGGAGAATGGGGTGAAAGGTACAGGGATTAGGAGCATAACTGGGTAGGTATAAAATAGACAGGAGGATGTTAAGAATAGTACAGGCAACAGAGAAGACAAGGAACTTAGATGCACAACCCATGGACATGGACTAAGAGGGTACTGGGTGGAGGGGGGTTGGGACAACTGTAATAGCATAATCAATATACTTTAAAAGAAAAAAAGAGAAAACCTCTAGCAAAGTATCTGAAACATAAAAAGGACTTGTGAAATCTGGCAGTTACCAAATCATAAGTGATACATTTATTTTCCAATCTGGAAGGCAATCAAACTGTATTGTTCCTTTATCTCCTTCATTTTATCAATTTCATTATCGTGCTGTTTTACATGTTCTGCAGAATCGTCTTAAATCCTTTCTGGCATACATTGAGGACATAAGTAAATGACTCAACTGCCAAATAATAGTACATAATACAGGTTTACAACTTGAGGAGTATAATAATTTCTATTATAAATACTGTTTCCTGGTCTATAGCAACCTATGCATTACTTTTATTTTGATGGCTTTGAACTGATGACATGTCTATTAAACCAAGTATTTCAAGACTAGGCGCATAGGAGCAGGAACAAAAATATATAAAACAAACTAAAATCAATAACATGAACCAAGAAACAAGAACCAACTTTTATGGCAGTCTTTTTACAGAGGTGTAAAAACTATGAGACTGCCTTGATCTATAATTTAATGTCATGCTAAATCAAATTTTTGGTTTGAAACATCTTTTTAAAGTTGCTATTGCTTTCATAGCATATGAAATGCAATATTTACCTTTATGTAATGTGTATTACGATTTTATTTTTATCATTGAAGTGACCATAGACGTCAGGAAGTTCACTTATACCCCCACCAACAGTGCTGATTGCTCACACAGCCTACTTAGAGTAATACATGAAGATTAAAATTTTCCTGGTAAAACATCTGTGTTGTAATGCAATGGTTTTTACAAACCATAAAAAATTTAAAATATCAAAGGCAATTTGGTTCTTTTGAAGGGAAAATTACTTGACAAATTAAACTGGACTTGAGAAGATGCTGTTAAACCTGTTTTAATTCAGGAATTACTCATTTTGTTTTCAAAAGTGGTTTTTGTTCATCTCCATACTCTTCAGAAAGGTGCATTAAAGAACCATGTCTTTAATGAGTCCTGGCCAGGTGATTCAGTTGGAGTGTCGGCTGGTATACCAAAGGCTGGGGGTTTGATCCCCTGCCAGGGGACAACACCTAGGTTGCCAGTTCAGTCCCTGGTTGGGAGGCAAATGGGATGCAACCATCAGATGTTTCTCTCTCTCCCTCTCCTTCCCTGTAAAACCAATCAACGACCAACATATCCTCAGGTGAGGATTAAAAAAAAAACAAAAAAGAATGAAGATTATTTTGGAAAAGATCTTTTCCTTCCTTTACTTTTACAGAAAGACATTGATATGTTTGTTCTACTCAATGATGCATTCATTCATTGGTTGTTTCTTGTGTGTGCCTTGACCAGGGATGGAATCTGCAACCTTATAGGGACAATGCTTTATCCAGCTGAGCTACCTGGCCACAGCTGACAAGATCTCTTAAAGATAAAGCTAGATTCAATTTTCCTTTGATAAAGTAAAATTACAAGAACACAGATTCAGATGTTTTTCTTCCATTCGCGCAGTGTTTTATCACCAGATTACTCAAATTAGCCTAATCATGTAGCAGAGGATGCTCCTGAATTCTAGTTCCACTGATGTTTTGAGAAGAAACTATTAAAGTGATGAGATCTGATTGAGATCTTCTAGAGCAGTGTAGTAAAGCCCTTAACTTCAAACAGGAAAGACACTCGTTTTACTCCTCCAGTTCATAAAGAATACATGAAACTCCCTTTGGAAATCACTGTTAGGGTTTTTTGTTGATATAGGAATAAGATGAGCAAATTTTAGTAGAAACTGAAAACCTTGACTTAAACAGATCAATTTTCTTGTATACATAACATAGTGAACTCTATCACAATACCATCATGGTGGCTGTGGCAGGGGCTATATGGTCACACTGTATTGATGTGAAGTTATCACAGTATTTAAAAATGATTATCAGGTATTAGACTTTGTGTGAAGACATACTTACCCAGAATGTGTTTTTAGAATCTTTAAATATAATAGAATTTATTGGGCATCTACTATTATATTTTATCCATCCATGTGTTTTAATTTTTTTCTTTGGGAGAATAATTTACACAGAAAGAGTTCAGGAGGGTATTGATTTATGCGCCAGAATTTAGATGGTATGCTCCCATTAGTACTGCAATGGAATGTCCTGGCAAGGTTTTCTCACAAATTTCACCAAATATGACCTTTACTTCCACTTAGTTTTAAAAGAAAGTAAAACTGAACTACCATTTGTGATTACAAAGAATACACATGCACCCAATCCAATGGTTAAAAATCAAAACGATTCATAATCTAATCAACATACCAAGCCATCATTTGTAAACCAGTCAATATAAACCAACTGTATTTTAGAGAGCATGATTATTTTAAAGTTGTCTTTTAAAAAAGACAATACCAGATTTTTATATTTGGAACCTTTAAAATCATCTATGGTTCTCTCAAATAACAGATGATTATCCTGTGTCCCAGGTCCTGCCCTTAATAATTAAAGAAGGAAAATGAAAATGCAATACAACTCTGCTTAGTTCTCTTAAACCTAATTTTTCTTTATCCACTCTTGGATTAGAATCAAATCTCAATATAACCTGAGAAATACCATTAAAAATCAATGAATATTCAAAGTAAAGTAAGTTTAAAATCTATGTATTTTAAAAATATATTTTCTTTCTTAAAATATTAATTTTTCATTGCATACATTTGCAAGATTTAAGATTAGGTAAAGAGTGAAAGTCTGCCTGACACAGCAGAATGGCTAATTTTCCACTTTCCCTGAAAGGCCAAGAAGAATGACCCACACCACTAAAATTATTTACTACAAATATACTCCAAATCCAATGATTTAACTAATAACTTCGAATATGTTTCTAAGACTGTGAGCTGACATACAAATAAATATACTAAATATTACAGAATATAAACAAAACTTTTTCTTTCTGAATCCTGGATATTCTGTTAGGGCTAGGTGTTCTCCCAGAAGGTAATGCAAATCTTTATTTTTTTCTATACAAGTATGTCATCATGATTTTTTTATTTTTAATTGTAACTGTATAATGTCCCCAATGTCAATCATCCTATGATGTTAAATGAACTAGTACCATTTCTGTTTCATAAAATAGTCTAGCTAAATACCCATGAACAAATCACACACAGTCAAAACAAAAATGTAATAAAAATATTTAGTTAAAAGACACATAATAACTCCCATTTATGGATTTAAAAATACAAATAAAATTTTATCAATTTGATATTCGGCTTTTTACTGGCTCAATACATAGCCTTGATTTATTTCCTAAAATTGTATTGTAGCATCTTTTGAAAAATTAAATGCAACTTTACACCTTCATTAGTAATGTTAATAGAGGTAAATAAACAGTATACTTGTCCCTGGGTTGCCCCAAAAAACCAACCTCTTAGTGTAAGTTTAAAATTTTAATATTTATAAATTTTAAAAATTTTTACATGTTCTGAATGGTAGCAACACCAATATTTGCAATCTGTCATAATTTTATGTGATAGATGACACTACAACAGAAAGCCTAAGCTCTGAACACACTTGAGGTCAGATTCCTGTTAGGTGCATAGTGCAGGTGCAATATTTAATTTCAGGCTAAGAAGGTAAGTTATTAGTACATACCTGACAGCTCCTAATAGCTGAGGTCTAAGAATCTAGACTGAAAAGAAAATCTCTCCACTGCTGGGAAGGCCTGGGAACAGGTGAGGAGCAAACCCCAGGGGGTGAGGAGGACAAACCGGTGTGCATATGAACCTAAGGATGCTAATATGTGCAAGCCACTCCTTCTATCACCACCACCATCTTAGAGTAGCTCAGTCTTCACGGACTTAGGGAGCTAGAGGTTATAAGCAGATCACTCCACCAGTCCTCTGGAGCAGAGTGGATGCCCATTGTTAAGCTTGTACATTTACCTGAACCGAATATATTCTTTGGCTAAATATGTCATGGGTTCCCCTTATAACTAACCAAAAATACTTAACATCTCACATCTAAATGAAAATTTTTAAAGTTCAACTTCAACCATGGCAGTTCATATCAAATTTGAGCTCAGCAATACACCTAATCTGGACATTTTTTAATTTCAGAAAATCAATTTTTAACGAATTCTTAAATGCAGTGTTTTCAGAACATAGTTATTTACCAAGTCAGAGGATATACACTCACACTTTAAAATAATTTAAAACATTATCATACCCTTAAATCAGCTGTTGTTTTGCAGCAGAATTTATAGAAAGTTATGTTAAAAACTCATATCCAAATCAATTCCTTATTCTCTAGTTGAAAAAGAAAACCCTAAGAAGTACTGAGGTTTCTTCTGACTTAACAGTTAAGATATTACTCAGGAACCAATAATGACAATTATCCATCAGACAGCTAACTTAATAAGGTTAAATGACAACCACCTCTAATGACAAAGGTGGCAAACAGAAACAAGTAAAATTGTAAAAGGCAAAAAAGTATTTTAAGGGTTCAATTGACATGGTCTCCTACGATACTCAGACTTGAAATCCTTGAAATCAATAGCTAGTTCCCTTCAATCTTCAAGGGTTCATACAAGTATTAACAGAAATGAGAAATATGGTAACATTACAAATACAGACTTGACAGTTTTTGTAGAAGAGAAAGTTCAATCAAAGACAGTAAGGAGAATGTTACCGGAAGGTTGGATTATACAGACACTGGGTTTTGAAATGAAAATTGTGAAAAAGAGTAATCATCTCATCTGAACAGAGTAATGTAATATAATTAGATACACAGCTTACAATGAACTAAGATTAAGTTCTTAAAATTAGTTTGAAAAAGATTGCAAAGTTTTTTTTTTTTACATAAAATGTCTCTTTATACCAGAAGAAAACTCAATGCAGTGATGTTAACATGCTACTGTCCTCCAACAACAACAAAAAAAAAAAACAGCAAGAAAGAAAGACTCAAATAACTGAAAATAACACTGTAAAGTACTGTCAACATAGTTGAGTTGACACCCATCTAGGGCAGCCACCCATCTAGAGGAACCATAAAAAACCCAATCCTTGTAACAGAGCTACAAGAGTATAGTGACAGGTGCTGTTAACACCGATTCCAATTGTAAAAATACAAAGTCCACAGAGCTTGTGCCTCAGGAAAACAAACAGGACCAGGAAAATAAAATCAAACAAAGAATGAACTAAAAAACTAAAACACTAGATGTTAAAGGTTACTATGCATAAACATAAATTTCATTTAACACAAAATTCTAAAAAAAATGAAATACTTGACAGTATTCCTTTAACATCTATCAACTGGGAGGGGCACAAATAATGTTCTTGTTTTTAAAACTCTTTGGACAACTTAACAATCAGTTGTAATAGTAAAAATCAATTTACTAAAATTAAGCCAGTGTTCTTAACTCCCACTGGGCTGAGAGCATTAAAACAAATCCCACAAAACTGGAAAGCCATAAGCATAGCGAAAGATAAATGTGAACAAAATAAAACAAAAAGACCAAAACTAAACAAATACCAACCAGGAAAACATACACACAAACACCTGGAAAGGGTCTAGCTGCTACAGTTAAGTGGCGTCCCCATTACCTAAAAAAGTGTTGCCTCCTTCTTCCTGTTTGCCACTAATCACATTCTGGTGACATGTGAAGGCTTATTTGGTCCACTGTGAAGTACATCTTGTTTTTATTAACAGTCGTCTAATGACACTGCAGTATTATTAACAGCATCTGGGCAAATTTAGCACATACATTTCCATCTAGGTAACAGTTATTAAATACAGATGACTTTTTATTTCCCAAGGCATCCCTTTTCTACTCATTTTTGTTTTTAAAAACTTGATTACAGTTTTGTCATGGCCAGTGGACCTAGCCAGTCAGCTGTGTGTCCCAGTGTCCTTTGGCAAAGGGACTACACTCATTACACACAGATACGTGGCTTACAACCACTGAGAAGGCATGCAGAGCTGGGAGACATACCACACCAAGAAAAATGCAAAACAGTGGTTACTGGTGCCATGACTTCAAGGTTTGTTATGGGGAGAAAAAGAAATCTAAAAATAAATGAATGGTTCAAAGCATTTTTAAAAACACAACGTATGTTTCATGAAAAGTGACAATTTTTTACTAGCTGTCTTAGGATGATTTTGTTCCCCCTCTACTGTTACTTGATGGTGACAACTAACAGAAATGGTCCTCAAAGCTCTGGCTCCAGTTCTGCATCAGCACGTGTCTAAGTAGCATGTCAAGCTGGGTGGAACTTCGATGATCCTGTTTGGTAACGTTAACTGTTAATAACAGTTACAGGGTTTCACACAGCATCACTGTGAAGGTGCATGTGCTACACGCAATCCAGACAGTAAACATTCCAGAGACAGTTTAGCACAGAGGTATCAAGAGCACAACAGGACATCCACCCCTTGAAACAGTGTCACTGTGCCATGTGACTTTGACACGGCAGCAGGCCATGTGTCTTAATTATAAATTATCTTTCATATGCCTGCGGTTTATAAATTAGCTTTCATTTCCATAATTTAAGGGTAGCATGGCAGCAGTAAAATCTTGATTAGACAAACTAGAGGGTCAAAGGGGATTTTTTTATCTCCTAAATTTACATGGTTCCTGTGAAATGAGGAAATAACCCACTCGAACATAATTATTATCCCTAATGCCCCAATGTCTAAAATCTGCAGTAGTCACTCCCATCCTTTAAAATACTTATTGCTTAAGCAAGCCATTCAGAGTAGAATACTATAGCCATGGCTAAGAGGCTGGGCAGAAACATACTCGAAGACTTAGACTACATATGATGAGCCTCCATTTCCCTCACAAAGTGACATGAATACACCACAAAATGGGCACCAAATTCAGAGGAGCTTATACCCTAACCAGCTCTGAAGCATCAGGACTGCATTTCTTGCTAAAACAGATCTTTTTTTTGTCCTTTCTTCTTAAAATTAAGGCAATGAAATGGCTACAGTTCCTAAAGTATTTTTTAGGGAACAAAAATATACATGTATTTTCCTCCTCAAGTTCAGGCATCAGAGTTTGACTAGAGACCTATATTCCACAAAATCTGCACACCAGCCAGTGTTATGAGGCCAGTGAGCACCTGCCAATGCCTTTCCTCCTGCCAAACTCAAAACTGAATCGCTGGGAGAAAAAGCACCAAAGCACAAAGCCTTCTCAGAGTTTTCAGCATCTCTTGCATTGATTCAAAACTTTTGGGGTAGCAGAGGGGAGAAGTTTATTAAAATGAAGAATCCCATGGTCCACAAACAGAAATTATGACTCTGAGGGCCTCTAGTTGGGCCCAGTGCCTCAGCACTGCAGGTGGTTGACAGAAAACATTTGAGAAATATCACCAAGCATACAAGTATATATCCACCCAATATTTCATGATGAAAATTCTAAACTTTGGCTAGCCACCTAACATTTGACAAAGAGGGAAAAGGCACTGAACATAATTTCATGGTGCCCATATCTGTTTGCACATATATGAAATTTCATTTTGAAAAGGTTAAATCGCCATTCCAAACCCACAGAACACTTGTGACCAACTGCGGTCACCTAACAGCAAATGCTGACTGGATGTGGGCTCTCCTGTCTCACCACACTGGTTGCATGTCAAACTGCCAATCTCTCCCAAACCCCAATGGCCAAGGAACTGAAGACAGGATAATACTCAACTCAACTTTTAGCAATTCAGTGCACTTTGCAGAAAGGATCTAAATTAAGCATAGAGTTTTGTTCTTTATTTTACACATAGGAGACCACCAACATTTGCCATAAACTCTTCTAAACTCTTTAAGAAGGCCATCTTCTGCTTCCGATCCAGCGTAGGAGGGGTACTGCTTGCAGTGAGCTTGTTGAAGGCATCTGCTAACCTCTGGTAAATAATGGGGTCTTGTTGACTTGACAGTAATGTTTCAACCAATTCAGAGTACTCGGCCTATTGAAGAGATAAAGTGTATATAAGAACATGTCTTCCTCAAATACCACACAAGTAGGTCCTTTCAGTTATTGGATGATGGGATTCTAAGAGGCAGAGTCTGCCAGCCCTTCTTTACAGTCAGAACATATTCTAGGTTCTGCCCTGACCTTTTCCATTGGTAATTCACCTGATGGAACAACCCGCCTAGGCAAGTTCCGTTTATATTCCTGTTTTGCAGGTGGAAGTTCTTATTTACAGTAAGATTACCTAACACATCCAACAGCACAATGCCTTTGAGTAAGAATGCAGGCTGTCTGGCACCAATTTAGTTGTGTTGCCTCTTCTGTGTTTTCAAAGCACATTGTTCATATTTGCTTTGCATTTTATACATAACCTCAAGTCAGCAACCTTTCAACAGTTTCCCAGAGATTTACAGACACCATGTCCACACAGTTCTATGGACAACTGGTCACATAAATGCAGGTGGGAGGTGGAAGAGAGGGAAAAGGGATATTTCGGTCCTTTCTCAAGGTGAAAATAGAGCATCGGAATGGCTCTACACATGCAGCTCAAACCAGCACTGTGCTCAGCAGCTCTGGTTAGAAAGGGCAGGAGATTAACAAACGTGTGCGCGCGCATGCGTGTGTGTGTAGCTTTTTTATCTTTAATGCCCTCCATAATAAAGCCTTACAGAAATGAATGGGTGTGACATTACAGGAGATGAAACCAGGGCAGTTTTCCAAGATAAGCTCTAGAAAAAGCTGGTTTGTCACTTTTTTAGTAGCTTCCCGGGATCTCATGGTGGACCAAGATGGTAAAACTACATGTTAATGACATTTGGAAAAGAAAATAGGGCACAGCACTCTATGTCACTTGGGCATGGAGCCAGAGTGGCTGCCTTCAGTGCCCCCTCTGAAGGACAGGCCTCTTCACAATGGAATGTGAAGACACATTAATGCTTCCCTCTCTTTCTCCTTCCCTTCCCCTCTTCTCTAAAATAAATAAATAAAATCTTGTTTAAAACCATTATAAAAAGACTTTACTTATTTTTAGAGAGAAGGAAAGGGAGGGAGAGAAACATCGATGTGAGAGAGAAAGATTGATCAGTTGCCTCTCATACACACACCAACCACAGCCCAAATCCCCAATCCAGGCATGTGTCCTGACTAGGAATTAAACCAGTGACCATTTTTGCTTTGTAGGACAACACCCTACCAACTCAGCCACACTGGGTCAGGGTGTGAATATATTTTTAAAAAGGTAACCAAAATGTAAGAGCTTCTGTATGTACTGGTAAGAAGCCCATGTTCCTAGTAAGACCAGGAAGTCAAATGACAGAGAAGGCCCCTGACTGTGATGGGCACCATCTCAGGAAGTAAACTCCTGAGCACCTGCAGCTTGGGGTGCAAACGGTTCAGGAAGCCTGCCAGAGGAGATCTTCAAAATAGTATGATGACCACCTTGAAATCCTATCTTTCTACAAAAAGAAAATGAATGAAACCCTCAGCTCCAATCATAGCATGCTATGGCCTCTATACTTTAAAAAAATGTCATAATTTCTCTAGCAAATCACTTGGTCATGCTGGGACATGTGTGTAGGGGGCATGTGATGACCAAATATGATTCTTTCTCATACACTGGATGGGCACTTAAAACGGGGAAGGGAGACAGGTAAGCCAGCATAACTTCCCTTCTGTCACATTAACACCACATCAGTAAATGCTTCAATCTTTAAAGACTCAAACAGGAAAGGAGGGAGAGGGGGAGGGAAAGGGAAAGGAAAAAAAAGGGAAAAGTGAAAAAAAGAAAAAAGAAAAGAAAAAAGAACACTGTTTCCACATTGTAGTACGGAATGAACACTGTTGTTTCCCATGCTCTCTAAAGACAGACTTTTCTGGGTCCCCATTCTCATTCATCTTGTTTTCCTTATAAAACTGAGTTCCTCAAGGACAGAAGCATGTTTCTATTATCCTCTCACATCTGACTCCTGTTTCCTAGCAGTAGTGTAAGGACAAGCTTTAGGTCAAAGGATAGTTCCTAACAGTGCAGAAGGGAAAATAAATGCTTATTTACTGACAAACAACTTGTCTGATAAACACAAAATAGAGCTAAAGATGCAGTGAAAAAGCAGAGCCTCGCTATAACAGAGCTGCAGCCCTGAGTCAGAGACCCTGTAAGATTTGGAGGGTTCACACCCATCGTGGGTCTGAACCATCTCCTTCTAAGAGGACGAGGGCCCCAAGAGCCATGGCCATACCTGGTGCAGGCACACCAGCGTGTAGAACGCCTCACCGGCTGCTGTCGTCATCTCCGTGTTGTGCTTCTGCAGAACCAGCATATCAAAAACCAGCTGAAAGTGCACAAGGAAACTGCTAACTAAAGACACACAACTCGAAAATCACACAAGTCCTCCAGCCCCTCCCTGTTCCAAAAAAGAGAGAGAGGGTAACCTCAAAACCTGCCACCCAAATACCTTACCTTCAGAAAGTGCCGTGTTGCTAGAAACAATGGTGAGTCTGTCTCCTGAGCTTTTGCGCACTGTTCAGCCAGTGGTGTCAGGGCCTCCAGGCACAGCTGGCAAACCTCTGAGCTCATTCTGATCATGAGGGTCAAAGAGCAAATGCAAGTGGACACACTTAACATATTAAAGATAAAGAATTACCACTATTATCACATGGAGTATATTTCTAAAAACAAATACAGGTAAGCAAGTATATCCATGTGTAACATGTCTTTACTAAGCCAAATGACAAAAGACTCCCAAGGTTTTGAGATGATCCACAAGTGACTGGGATCTGAGACTGGAGACTTTCAGCATGTTTCTGATTATGATGCACACACTGATAAAAAGCCCTATAATTCTCTACCTTTGGGTAGCTAACACCAGACACTCAGCACCAGTATGTAGCATTACCAATCAAGGCACTTAGTAATAGAGTGATTTGGGGACCAGGAGCCAAATGCCTCTGGGATCTGTGAAAGGAGAAAAAAAATGAGACAATCTAACAACAACGACAACAACAAAAACCCCATAGAATCAAGGGAGCTACAGAGATGGTGGCTTTGTTTAAGAAATAAAACTGAAATACAAAAGAAAAAGAAAAATGCAAATTTTAAAAACTTTCTTCAGGTAAGATATTTTCCCCATGTGACAAGTGACAATGTTTATTTAAAGGATACGAAGTCATTCCCAATTCTAGAGAGCACATCAGACTTTTGAAGAGGTCTTCAGGAAGTTGTGGTATTTTTTCAGGAAAAATCTCACAGATAAATGTGATCAATTTGTAGTATTGATTACATAGGGTTGGGAACTGAAAAATAAAAATTAAATATTTAGATGCTTAATGTTATCTAATTTTATTTTCATTAATGCAAAAAGTAATGTAATAACAGGCAAGCTTCTAAGTATAATAATTTTTTTAAAAACATATATAGGATATAGAAAACAAGAACAACTAATTAAATGTAAAATTAAGTTACAATAAAGGGAATAATTTAGTAAGTGATATGGTAATACATAGTAGAAACAACTATTTTCTGAATAGTTAATAAAAAGTACAACCCAAAAAAAGCTACAGCCAATTCCAGATATTCTACGTTTACCTTAAGAAAGTAAACAAAGCAGCCAAATCTCAAATAATTAAATGATCTCTGAATAAAACCCTTCTGCAAATGTGTTTATGTGTCTTCAAGCAAGGGAAAACACAAGAAGCTAATACCAAAGGCTAAGATTATACGCTGAACAGCCCCTTCACACTCCCAAAATTCATTGCCAGGATGGACAGCCCTGGTAGAGTAGGTAATCAACAACAGTTTCACCTCACTTAAAGAATATACATCTAAATGTTTAATACTTCGTTTGATTAGAAAATATTAATAAGTAACCCTGAAAGCAATCACCATACAGGGTTGATGATACTTCCCACCTACCACTTGTGCACAAACATGTGGTTCCCATGTCATCGGAATCCCTTCCAACAGACATGCATCATGAGAGACGTGCTGAGCTGGGAGTCTACAGCCCTCTCTCTCTGGTGCTCGTACTTTCCACCCCCTCCCACTCATCTGTGCATGTATGCACAGGCAAACACAACTCCCTCCTCCTTTCCATCCATGTCCTTGTCCCCACCCTCAGACTCCTATAACATTTCATGAAAAGACAGGAAAGAAAGGGCAGCCTCATCACCATCATATCCTCAATACTGAATGGTGAAACCAAGGCACAACATAATCAGAATGTACAAAATTGAAAACTGTATGAGTCTTGGTTTCTTACCATCCCATTTCTACATGGAGTAGTGACTTGTTATTTTCTTCTGCTGTTCAATCCCTCAATCTGAGAATAATGTTCAACAAGTATCAGAGGACTGTGTATGCCTGAACATCTAACTTATTTTAAATGACAAATGATGAGAGAACCAAAACTGCTAACATTAAAATGTAGTTTCTAAAAGATCCACTTTCTCTGTCAGTAATCTATCTTGAATGCAGGACTCTGGGGCAGGAGTAGTGAGGGCCTGTGTTCTAAGTTGTAGACATGAGTGTGAATGACACTAACAGTAACAAAAACATCTGATTTTCATATGTACTTAACAGACAAGCAGGTATTCATACCCTTTAATTAAATAAAAGGCATATTCTTATCTAAAGTATCTTTAAATTTCAAGCATACATGTTTTAATGTTTACATTCACTTTCTTCAATTACCTTCAAGAGATCTTGTGACATCAAGGGAAGAATTAGGTTGACTCCATATAAAACCACATCTGCAGCTGACACAGACCTGTTTGCTGCTTGCCCCGGCTCATGTCCTCTGAATACTTCATCTATAAACAGAAGCCACATGCTTACAGTCACAACATGAACAAATCTGCAAAGCTGTATACATTCTACCCTAGAGAAAGTAAAAATAGATTTGAACCCTCAGCCACAATAAATCTATGAGTGGTTAACAGGACGCCTGGTAACCTTGTCTGGGTCACCCTTCTGTATTTCACTTTTCAGGGTCTCAGAGCACTCAATAAAGATGGTATTCTGTGTTTACATCACATATTACTCTTCAATGACAAAGGAAAACTAATGCTTTATCAATGTTGTGAAAAGTAAATCTACTCACTGACAGGCTGGTCACACTAGGAGATAAATAATTCCACAGTAATATCTATTTTATCTCTTAGGTCTGTGGAATTTTTCTAAGCTGAAAAGAATAGAGGAAATATAGAAATTAAAATGTTACATAAAAAATAAAGTAATTTTTTTAATATAGCTACCATGGTCAAGGGCTATTATCCTTACTCCATAAAGAATGCCTGTAAATTAGCAGGAATCCTGAGACCTAAATAGATAACTGAGTAGAGTCTAACAAAACCACCAATCCAATGAAAAACAGTTCACTCTAATCATTAATCAATGAAAAAATTTTAAAGTTACTATTTCTTTTTTTAAAGATTTTATTTATTTATTTATAGACAGAAGGAAAGAGAGGGAGAAAGAGAGGGCGAGAAACATCAATGACTGGTGGCTTCTCCCACGCCCCTTACTAGGGACCTGGCCCGCAACCCAGGCATGTGCCCTGACTGGGAATCAAACCTGTGACCCTTTGGTTCACAGGCCAGCACTCAATCCACTGAGCCACACCAGCCAGGACTAAAGTTACTATTTCTGATTCATTAAATCCAAGATGACTTTTGATCCTCACCTGAAGATATGTCTACTGATTCTAGAGAGAGGGGAAGGGGCAGAGAAAGAAATAGCAATGTGTTGTCAGAGAGAAACATCGATCAGTTGCCTCATGTATGGCCTGTGACCAGGGATCCAATTCACAACATTCTGGTGTACAAAATGATGTCTCAATCAACTGAACCACTCGGCCAGGGCAAATTCAAAATGACTTTTAAATAATAATTACATGCTGGTGAGGATATAGTGTGATAGTTACCGTCCAAAGCTATGTAGTAAAAACATTTTGAGCACTGTATATACTAAAGATATATTCAGAAATTCAGACAGAGATTTGTCCACAGAAGTGATTACTGCATTGTTATCTATAACAGCAAAATAGTAAATATTCCAGGTATACAATATTAGTAAAACTGGGTAAATTCCAAAATGTGGAAAACCATTCAGCCATTAAAAGGTCATAAAATGTTTTAATGATGAGGAAAAGGCCAAGAGTACGTTAATTTAAAAAGGCAGAATATAAAATTGTATTTACAGTACAAATGCAAAGAAAATTATACAAGAGAAACAAAAGGGAAATTACCATGTGCAATTTATAGCTGATTCTGGATTATGTCAAAATATGGGTGATTTTTCTGTCTCTGTACTTGAAAATTTTTCTATTAAGAGCATACTACTTTAGAACAAGGGGAAAAAAGATAAAATGGGTCCAAATAAAAGCACACTTCTACTTAAAAACCACCTTTCAGCCTAATTCTGAAGTTCTCCACCAGGGTCTCAGTTCCAGTTGGAAAAATCCCACCCTTCTGGATGCAATCTTGGATTCCATCACCAGGAAACTTGGGCCTGTCTAGGCATGAGGCCTCCCTGACACTACCCGCAGGCTTCCCTAACAAGACAGCTTTTGGTCTGGAGGCTCGTTGGGCTCCATTCTCCAGTATTGAGCTCTACTAAGGATTCAAAAATAGAGTACTGAGACGCACTGCCAGTTGTGCCTTTAAAAACCCACCTAGCAGGTTAATTTCATTTCATAATATTTAAAATATTTTGTTTTGTCCTGGCTGGAGTGGCTCAGTGGATTGAGCACCGGCCTGCGAACCAAAAGGCTGCCAGTTCAATACCCAGTCAGGGCATGTGCCTGGGTTGCAGGCCAGGTCCACAGTTGGGGGCAAGCAAGAGACAACTGATTTTCTCTCACATGCCAATGTTTTTTCTCCCTCTCTTTCTCTCCCCTCTTCTCTCTCTCTAAAAATAAAATCTTTTTAAAAAATTAAAAAATATTTTGTTTTATATCACCTATTATCTTTATTTTTTAAATGACTTAAATCTTCATCAAGTTACCAATTTAATGAGTTAATGCTGTTTATCATTTTTTTCTATTTTAACCATAATTTTTCTTTCATCTAAATGTCAACCCTATGTACCCTTTCTTTATTCTTTTCTGCCTTATTCTGTACTTCAATCCTAAGCATTTTAATATCAATTTCTTAATGTTTCATTATGATTTGGATCTTTTTGTTCTTTTACTTGGAAAGTCTCCCCTCACCTGTTAAACTGTAGAGTCTGTGCTCCCACTTGTAGAGCAACAGGAAGAAGTGCACCTGGCACTGTAAACCTGGGAGACTATAGGGCTTTTCTCCCTCCAAATGCCCTCAAAGCTCTCCCTCTCTTTCAGTATCAGCTCTGTACTTTGAGTCAGATTCCTTAGGGTACAGGGATCTGACCTGGTGCTTACATCCCTGGAAAGTATACAAAAGAGTTTCTAAGAGCCCACAAGTCAACTGATACAGTGTGTAAAGGTTCAGTAACTACTTCAGGTATTAAAGGCCCACGGCCTAGAAAAAGTTAAGAACTCCTAGAGTAAGGACTGACATGAAGGAATCAGAAAACATGGGAACTTGTGTGAGAGGTAGGCTTGGCGGAGGGGCAGCTGCAGCCTTGTGGGAAAGAAGCAGAGAGTAGGTGTGGGACAGGGCCTTCCAAACCATGTCACCTGGGGGCCCTAGTTAAACTGAGGAGTCAGCCTTCTAGCATGTGAAGTGGACAGTGCCTGGGATAGCACAGACACTGAAAAGAAATGCTGTCCAACAAATAAGGAAACAGAAAAAAAACAAGCTCACGTATGGGGTAAAATGAGGAAAGTGGAAAACTACAGCACACAGCTCAGGACGGGAATCTTAAAAGGAAGAAGCATCCACAACAACAAATATCTGCAGAACACAAAAGAAGGTGCTAAACAGGACTCGTTTTTCTCTTAGAAAGCAAGATCTCTTTTATGTGAAGACAGGGTGGGCCGTGGGGTCAGGGCGAGGTGAGGGAACATCTACAAATACATGAGGTTTCAGTTACTGGTGAATTTGTACCTGTATTAACTCACCACCAGAGACTCCTGAGCTCATCCATAAACACTCTGAAGGGCGTTTCTCAATACACCCACTGGACAATTAGGAAAGGCACTGGAAGGCTAAATAACTTCCCCAGGGTTCTGCTGTCCTAAGGCCACTGGTTACTCTCCCCATGAGCTCCACCCCAACAATTATTCCAACGCCTCACCCTCGAAGGCAATGGGCTTTCCTGGGCTGGCCACCTCAGGACACGGAGGAGGGACCAGCCAGTAAAGCATACGTGAAGTCCAGTGCTGGCATGTCAATCTAGTCCTGTGACATACTAGCTGCTCCACATCTGTGGGCAAGTGACATATAACCTCTTGTACCTGTTTCTTCATCTAAAAAATGAGTGTAATAGTGGTACCTACTTCCCGCCGCTGTGGCAGTAACAGTGCTGACATTTCATAGGAACCTAACAGATAGAAAATTTAACTATTCTTCTTACAAGAGGAAAGCCAAACAGAAGGGCTGGGGGCCCTTCCCTCACTTTACAGTGCCCAGAGAGACGACACTTCCATCTACTTTGTAAACTGAATTTCCTCGTGGGATTTCACTTAACAAAATATCCTCTGCTTTAATAAAAACAACAGTGACAACAAAGTTCACACCCTACCTGTATCACTGAAGTCTATGAACTCTTTTGACAGAAGGTTTGTAAGAAGTTCCATAATGAGAAGCAGGTCCTGGTACTGCTCCTCCTCAGCTGTAACATCCACTCTCTGCCGCCCCAAATTATTCTTAGAGTATACTTGCAACAAAGTAAGGCAGGCTTCATATAAGTTCATCGCTTTAGACTGTAAGAAAGCATGCAGAAATTATGCTACCAGAACAAATATAAATATTAAATAACTTTTAAAATACAATGTAATAAATTTACTCTAAGTCCTAAAAGATCTCAAATACTCATTTTAAACTACACCAAAACATTCACACACATGAAAAGTACAAACTAATTATACTTAAAATAACTAACAGTTTTCCAGCCATGAAATCTGACATCCAAATTTTTATTCATTTGACCAAAGAAATGATAAGACTTTTGGCAACAGAACTGCTTTATTTCTGTTGTTCAACTTCTTCATTGACTATTTTAAAACCTAAAATTGTATAACTTGCAGAAACAGAGTACCAAACAGCAGTCTTAAACATGAGAGTGGCACTGGCATACCCCTCAGTGATTTATCTGTGACTACATTTACAATATCGGGTTGGCCAAAAAGTCCATTTAGTTTTTTCTGTAAAATAAAAGACACATTTTTCATTTTCACCAGTAACGTTATTGATTTGGATATCTTGAGTATGTTGGCAATCTCCCACGTGGTATAATCTTGACTGTCCTCAATTAATGTCTCGACTCCACTGTTATCAACTTCAACTGGCCCACCTGACTGTGGAGCACCATCCAGCAAGAAACCTAGCAAATCACTTTTGACACGTTCGATCAAGTCACAGCACCTTCTCCATACACTGCACAAATCTTTTTTTGTATTTGTTGCATTTTTACCGTTCTTGAAGTAACAAAGCATAACACACCAAAAATGTTGCATATATTCTTCCATCTTCAAGGTCAAAATGGTTACATAAAAATTCACCAATTTGTTTTTTTTTTAAATGCACCCTGATACAACAGCTACAACAACACAATCTAACAAAACTGTTTTGAATGAAGACAACTAAACGTTACTAGAGCCATCGTATGGGGGAAAAAACCCCAAACTTTTTGGCCAAACCAGTACTTCAAATATAACCTCATTTTTGAGCAGGTCTCTTTGATCTAAATAAAATTACCAATCAGGAACCCGTATTAAATGATTTGGAACAAGATTTAAGCTAATCTGCTAACAAATACAAATGTATTCTTAAGGTTTCTTTAAAGCTTTCTAAATTATTTAATGGGACAAAAAAATATATCTTTGCTTACAGAATATAAAAGAATAGTGTGTCTAAACACTCATCTAATTTGCCAAACAAAAGATACAAATTACCATTTAAAATTGTAAGCCTTAGGGTCCTACAACAAAGAAATTGGTTAAAATTCTCTACCATAATCCATTTGTTTTATGAAATAGTTCTCACTTGAATGAATTTGATTTAATAGCAAATGAGCCCAAATAAATTACTGATTATTAACGTTTTTAGGATAAGAATTTCTATTCATTTAATATGCCTTCCTCTGAATTCTAAGTTCTTTTGAAAATAGTCTTTTTGAAAGATCTTTTGGAGGCATAAAAACATTTCAGAAAATATTCATTAAATTTGAAGGAAAGTATCTATTATTTTATTATAGTTTTAAGGAGTTTTAATCCTGAAAGGATGAAAATTAGAAAGTGCTCACCTCTCCAAGATAGCATATCTGTTTATGTGCAACTTCAACAAAAACTTCTATTATGAGATTGACAGTCTCTGGGGTATTTTTGTAAACTTCCATCAATCCAATGCAATTGGTAAGGAAGTCCATTAAGAAATTAAAAAGGATAGCGACGTTGTCAATCTGGGTGGCCTCGGCAATGCCACATAGGGCCTCAAGTGTGGCAGTGATTTCCTGCTTGACCTCCTCCTGTTGGCACAGCTGCTGAAAGTTTTCCTGATTTATCACCCTTAAGAATCGTTGCTGCAGTGGCTGAAGAACCTACAAAAACAAAGCATGGATTTTTCTGAAAGGCTGACTCACATACCTTATTTACTTCTTCAACTTTATTTCCTAAACTAGGATAGTCACTTTCCAAAACATTTCTAACTGTTGGAAGTAGAAAAAGCACAGAAAACAAAGAATATCAGAACCACACATTATATTCCCCATTTTGAGGGTTATCACAACTTCTGTGTGAGGCAGGCATTGCCTCACTCACATCAGTTAAAATGGCTATTATCAAAAAGACGAGAGAGTAATGCAGGTGAGGAGAAAAGGGAACCCTCATGCAATGTTGGAGGGACTGTAAACTGGTACAACCACTATGGAAAACAGTATGGCGGTTTCTCATAAAATTAAAGTTAGAACTACTTTATGATGGAGCAATTCCACTTCTCAGAATATATTCAGAGGAAATGAAAACACTAATTTGAAAACCTATCTGCACCCACCTGTCCACAGCAATATTATATACAATAGCCAAGACATGGGAACAGACTAAGTGTCCACTGATGAATGATGGATAAAGTTGTGGTGCATAAACATGATGGAATACTATTCAGCAATGGGGGGAAAAAAAAAGAAAAACAAGGAAATCCTCTATGGAGTCAAAATGGATGGACCTTGAGGGTATTATGCTACAGAAAATATATTGGACAGAAAAAGACAATTACTGTATGATTTCACTTATATGTGGAATCTGTTTAAAAACAAAACATAACAAAACAAAACACCGAACTCATAGAAAAAGTTTTGCTGTTACCAAAGGTGGGAGTGGGGAGAGGGGGATTTGGAGAAAGGTAGTCAAAAGGTACAAACTCCCAGTTACAAGAAAACAAGCACCAGGGTTGTGATGTACAACATGATGGCTATGGCTAACACTGTATGACAGAGAGTGAGTAAACCCTTAAGAGTTGTCACAGAAATTTTTTTTTTTTTTGCCTCGTTTTATTGTGTCAATATGAGATTGTGGATGACAACTAAACTTATACTAATAATTATTTCACATTATGTAAGCCAACCCATTATATAGTGATGTGTGTCAACTATGTCTCATAAAACAAAAATTATAATTTATGGAAAAACATAAGTGCGTGCTATCATCTTCACTTCCTTAATTTAGCTTTAAGAGAGAGAGAGAAAAGAAGGAGATTCTACAAATGACAGAACACAACTTCAATGCCATCTCCAGAATTCAGCCACTATCTTCATCTCTTTCCAATAAAATATTAAGCCTTCACAGTTGGGACTGGCGAACTGTTTTCTATGGGGTGGGAACAAAAATAGGTTTACAGTCGTAAGTACATGAAACAGAGTTGGTTCTTGTATTATTATTTATTAATTATTGTGTTATTTTCCATACAAACACCTGTAAACCTACTTTTACCCCACCCTTACAAAGGGCCCGGGGGTAAATATTTCAGACTTGACAGGATATGCCACCTCTGGCCCAACTGCTCTGTTTTGACTATGCTGTTGTGCAAACACAGCCATAGACAATATGAAACAACTGAGACTGAATGTGTTTCAATAAAAACTTTATAAGAAGAGACAACAGGCTAGATTTGGTCTGTAGGCTAGTTTGCCAACCTGTTCTGTAGGGTCAAGTCTGACCAACACAAGCTCTTGCCTGTGTTTTCCTTTCCAACTCCTCTCAGCATAGAACATAACTTCAGACACTCAGTCCTGCCCTGGGTATAAAAGTGAATAGGCATAATCATGAAGATAATATCTTAATTCTACTTAAAGCTCTACATATAATAACACAATTATTTCAACTATAAATACAAGATCAGCCTGGTTTCTCTTCTGGTTCTGAAGTCACAACTGCTTGATGTCTGTCCCTTCTAGTCACAGGACTCTAGGCTGGCAACTTACCTGCAACGGTAAGTCTTGGTTCCCCCATTTAAAGCTTACTATATGAGGCAATGTCCACAGTGGCTGTTATGGGTTGAATTATGTCCCCCCAAAATTGGTATGATAAAGTCCAATCCCCTAGAAACTCAGAACATGGTCTCATGTGAAAATAGCATTGTTTCGGATGTAATTAGTTAAATTAAGATCAGGTCATTAGGGTAGACCCCCTAATCCAGTATGACTAGTATCCTTAGCAAGAGGGGAAATTTGGGCACAGGAATGCAAACGTGGCAACTGTCATGTGAAGATAAAGACAGAGGTAGGAGTGGTTTATCTACAAACCAAGGAATGCCGAAAATTGCCCGCAAAGCCCCGGAAGTCAAGAGAGGCCAGACCAAATTCTTCCTCAGAGCCTCAGACAGAACCAGCTCTGTGATACCTGATCTCAGATTCCCAGCCTCCAAACTGAGACAATAAATTTCTATTGTTTAAGCCAAGTCTGTGGTATTCTGTTACAGCAGCCATAGCAAACTAATACAGTAGTTAATCAGTAGCTCCTTTTTCAAGACAAAAGAACACTTCACTAATTTTTAATGAAGAATAAATATACCAGTTCAGGTTCTCATTTGAGCTGGGGGAAAAAAATTAACCTGAACTGCAGAACACATGATAATTAATATTCAATGTCATCAAAAGCAGATAAGAGCAAGTCATAAAATGTTAGTTATAAAATAATAAGCTTCAACCTATACATTAGGAGGGAAAAATAACAGAAAAGTGGTAATTGATGTTTATGTCTCCATGGACTATTTCACGGCAACACATAGATAAAACAACAAAGTGCCACCAGCAGGTGGAATCACAATCAGGGGAACTGTTACCTCAGTCCAATACTGTTGTTTGGTTTCTGTGTCCATCTGTGCAAAACCTCCCAGGACAAGAGCCTTCATCAGCGTCCTCTGCACAGGACTAGAAAGGAAATTCAGAGGAGGGCTTCGGCTCGCAAACTGTTTAGCTAAATTCCACCAGTTTTCACACTGGATTACTAGGTTTGCCCTATGTGCAAAAACAGCAAAAGAAAGATGTACCGTTTACACTGTATGTATACTAAGTAAACAAAATGCAAGGTAGCTGGATTTAATTAATTTTAAAGTACAGTAAACTGGGCATAGATTTTGGAGTCCCAAATGTTTGCATTCAAATCCCACGGGGAATATGACAATGTAAAATGTTTTTAATCTCTCTTACCAGTTTCCTGATCTGTAAAATACGAATACCAACAGTAATAACAACCCTAAATCTCATGACTGAGACTGATATAATAGATGCTATACATGAAAGGCTTGAACAGTACCTAGTAAATTATAAGTAATAAATAGTAGCCAATGACAACAGTAATAATTGCATTTCTATGCAGCAAAAAAAATACATTTCCAGAATTTGTTGTAGAAAACAATAAAAATTTTACTTTGCAAAATTAAATTAAATTGTTAAATTATCAGTTTTTCTCATCTTTAAAATGGGATATTACTAACAGAATACCTGAAAAATAAAATGGCACTCTTAAAACTTTTTTAAAACTTTAATTTATAAATAACTTACTAAATTAAACATGCATGCTACTCATAAGATACTTCAATGATGAATCCTTGAACAGTCAATTCAACCATCATTTGTAACACAGGAAAGCCTTATTTGTACTTGTAACAATTAACATCACATTGTTTTGGGGTTTTTTTAAGATTTAAAAAATTTTTATTTTTAGAGGGGAAGAGAGAGAGAGAGAGGAAGAGAGAGAGAGAGAGAGAATCATCAATGTGAGAGAGAAACATCAACTGGCTGCCTCTTGTACATGCCCCAACCAGGGACCAAACCGGCACCCCCAGGCATACAGGGAACCCAAGTGATTGAGAATCCAAGTGACCTTTCACTTTATAGGAGGACAACCAAGCAACTGGGCCACACCAGTCAGGACCATGACATTGTTTTTTTAAACACAGTGCTTCAAAAAACCTGGACCTTAGGACCGTGTAACTGTGTGCCACTTGCAAAGCCTACACTAAAAAGCAAACTGAAGTTACACACAAAAACAGCCTGACTCTTACTAGCAGCTTACCTTTCTCTTCTTTCCACTAAAGTGACAAGGAGTTGCACAGTGTCATTTGCAAGGTCCTGCTCACTGCTCCACACCGAGAGGTTACTGATAACTTTCTGTAAGAGGTAGCCAATAATCCACTGAGAACCCTCAGTATCTGCTCCAAATGCTGTACTGAATGGCAGACTTATCTTGAAGAGAAAACCAATTTTTTTAGGTCAGAAAAAAAGATCAGCTAAAAAAAATTCCATAGAAAAATCAAACTGATGTTAGCATCTAAAAATGAAGTACTGCTTACTTCACATCAATTTTATGAACGAATTCATATCCCTAAGTCCAAAAAGAGATCCTCAATCCACCTACTGTTTTTTTGCCATGTATATTGCACACTTTTTTGCCCAGATTTTTTGAGGGAAAAATAAGGACACGCATTATACATGGGTATAATGATTATATACCATGGGTATGATAATCCCATGTAAAATGAGCACAAAAATGAAGATGCATATTATACATGGCAAAATATGGCACATTTTTCAGTTATTTTCCTATTAGCTATAACTGTTCTGTTATTAACACAATAATATGATATTTACATCAAACACAAAGAACAAAAATTAACCCATTCTCAAAAAGTAATCTATAACTTAATATGGGTTAACATATGCTGAATCAAATGATGTGCCCTAAGAAAAGTTATTAAAATCACATGCCATTCATATAGTTCTCCTTCCATGTAGAAAATGTTCAGCTGTTAAGTTACCTTTTAATGAGAAAATAACCAAGAAAATGTTCTCATTTCTACAACTGCTATTATCATAAATCCAAATGAAATTAAAGTTTTACATCCTGACCTGATCATATAGCTTCTCATCCACCAGGAGATAAGTCTTTGCCCAGCGTTTTAGAAACCAAACAATGTCTTTGCCCATTTGAGGGCTTAGCAGATGAGTGAGGTCTGCTCTTATTGCTCGAGACTCAACTTCCGAAACTCTGAGAACGGCAGATAACAGCCTATGGGTACAAAAAAGATGTCATTTATTCTTCGATCTATTTATTAGCTATTTTCTTCATAAAAGTCCTTTTTTGTTTCCCAACTCTCTGGATTTAGGACAGGCTATACTTGAAATTTTCATCAATAAGGCTGTAGACAAATGCCCCACTTTGTTGCTGACCTTTCAGGAAGCAGTAAACAAGACAAAGTAAGTGAAGGTAGTCATGGCCAAGAGACATCCTTCTATTGAAGTTGTTCCTGCATTACTGTCTAAAGAAATTTTTCAGATTCAAAATGGAAAAATACCTAAAATTAAAAGTTCAGGGTAAATGCCATAAATTCTTCAGCACACCATCACTACTTAATATTGTATGGTTAGTACTGTTTGTTTTTATACATTGGTCATTCTGTGGTTCAGGGTCTGGTAATTGACCTATCTAGAACGTTCTGAATATTGAGTCCTGACTCTAAATCTCATAGTCGTACTCATTTCGTAACAAACTTGATTCTTAATGGTATTTTAAAATAAAACTCTTGCTAGAAAAATTGCTTACAGGATGTGCACAGTGTCTTTTCCTACACTACATAATAACTGTGTGTTAACAACAAGGTACAACATGTAGAAAAATAAGGCCTTTGTTCCAGGTGGGTTAGGGGAGCACATAACCAGAAGTGATACACATATATGAGGTCTGTCCTGAAAAAGTCCAGCCACTCTTAATATAATGAGAATAGTTTATGTAATATCAATGTAACCCAGTAGTCAAAGAGAGCAGACTGGAATGCACATGTGTGAACAAATGACAACATCACTGTCCTAGCCGGTGGGGCCAATAGACACTGTTGAGTGGGCGTGTGTACTATGTGGCCGTAACATTCAAAATGACTGAGTGAGTAGAACAACGAATCTGCATCCAATTTTGCGTTAAGCTCAAACATTCCTCCTCCGAAATTATTCAGATGATTCAAAAGGCCGCAGCTATGGTCAATGGGTGATTGGTAGCTTCATCACAACAATGCGCCCGCTTGTGTCTCACATCTCCTAAGTTTTTTGGTGAAATATCGAATCACCCAGGTGACTCAGCCCCCGTGCTGCCCAGATTTGGTGTCCTGTGACTTCTGGCTTTCCCTAAAACTAAAATCACCTTTTAAAGGGAAGAGATTTCAGACCGTTGATGACATTCAGGAAAATACAATGGGGCAGCTGACGGTGATTGGGAGAACTGTGTAAAGTCCCAAAGTGCCTCCTTTGAAGAGGACTGAGGTGTCATTTTCCAATGTACAACGTTTTCTTGTATCTTGTATGTTTTTCAATAAATGTCTCTATTTTTCATATTACATGGCTGGATACCTTCTGGACAGACCTCATATATTAAATTGACTTTAGCTAAAACACAAAGCAGCAGGATTTGATGGAAAGAACTCATTACCACACCATTTTGTTACTATCAATGACAAGAAAGGGGTTCTAATCACAGGAAGTCTGGCTTCTACTGTCCCTACTGTTCTCAAAATGACTGAAACTGTCTGCTTGTGATGAAATCTTATGAACATTTCAGTTTTTTATCCAGATGGATGTTCCCAAAATACCAAACACTGCTGGCATTCGGCCCTTTTGAAATGTCTTCCCTTGCACTTTCCCATATTTCCCCTCAGCTTTTTCTTACTCTTCCCCAGGCATTTATGTCCTTTTGTACTCTGACCTCATTCTTTAAACAGTTGGTTCCTAAGGCTCTTCTCCTTTTTCACTATATATATTCTCTATACCACAATTGCTCAAACTTTTAACAAAGTTATTTTAGGATGCATGTGAACAATAATGCCCTGATGACCTCACAACACATTTAAGTGGATATATCAAATTCTCCCCGTAAGAATAGTTTTGATAAGACAGAATTTGATGTATTAAAGATGTTCTTCTCTAAAACAAAGAAATCATACTGAGATGTCTAGAAAAACTTCTTTAAAAAAAATAGTTTTAAATTATATAGTTTGCAGCCTAACAGAATTTGAAATAGTTACAGTGGCCATTTAAATTTATGCACTGGAATTTAATTATCATAGTGTTGCAATACTCACCATCATCCACTTGAAAAATAAACAAGTTTTTAAGTTAGAAACTTTACATTGTTTCTTTTTTCTCCTTAAATTTTTGTTTTGGTTTCATTTCCCCACACTCTTATCCTAATATAATAAATTTTATACTCATTTTATTTTTAATTTTTATTTATTATTATTTTTTAATCCTCACCCAAGGATATGTTTATTCATTTTTGAGAGAGGAGGAATAGGAGGGAGTGAAGGGGGAGAAGGGGAGGAGAGAGAAAAACATTGATGTGAGATAGAAACATCAATCTGTTGCCTCTCATATGCACCTCGACTGGGGAATTGAACCTGCAAACTAGGTATGTGCCCTGATTGGGGATCAAACCCGCAACCACTTGGTGATTGATTGGGACGTTCCAATCAATCAAGTCACCTGGCCAGGGCTATATTCTTTTTATTGACCACACAATATACTTCTCTAAAACAAATGTCTAGATGCTAAAATAAATTTTTTAAAAACATTTCCAATGATCTTAAGACTTCTAAAATGTCTTCTGGACTGAGTTATTACAATACTTAATAGTACACAACTGCACAAATTATAAACATTTAAATACAGTATTAAACATAAAATTTTATGCATCTGAGATTAGTATAGCATGATTTTATTTTCCAAATTAGTTTATGTATCTGTGAAAAAACATTACTTATCACTAGAATGAGACAGAGGTGAGCATAATTTAACCCCTAGTTTTTATTTTAATAGATAAAAAAACTAAGAAAACTCTTTTCATAAGTAAATGGAAGACATTTTTAAAATAGCAGATTTCTCAATTACCTGCACTTCTTGCAAGTTATATGCCAAACATCACACAGCTCTACCACCAAAAACTATTTTTAATAATATGATAGCTGACAACTTGATTAGGTCACTCTTCAGTATTATCCAAGGCAAGACTAAAAACTTCCTGACTTGTAGAATAACTGGTTATCCATTACTCAGTTACTCAATTACAATACCACACTATTTGGCACGCTACAGGTTTCTACACACCTGCACCCACCAACCCATAGACTCAACAGTAAGAGTTCCAATGAAGAAAAGTTTTGCCTTTATTTGTAAAGTGGGAGCAAGGTCAAGAATAGTACCACAGACAGATGAACCTGGGGCTCTCAATAGCCTGTCCTCATTCCTGCCTCTCTCCTCCCCACCCTCAATCAACCTCAAAGTCCCTGAGAACTTCCCTTGAAACACCTGTCATCTTTCTGTCCTTCCCATCATCTTTATTCCACTAACAGAAATGCTTCCTAACTTACCAGCCATCCTTTACATCCAGCCTCCACACTACAATCCTCTAATAAAACAATGTGATTAGCTCACTTTCGTTTTTCAAATCTTTTCCAACACATACTCCAACCCACTCCACAGCCCACCCTACTTCTCCACCCTCAGCAGGCACCTTTCCCTTTGTGTGCGTGCCAGCCTCCTCTCCTTTCTGGGCAGCTTCTTGGCTGCTCTCAGTGCCTGGGATAGTCTTCCTCTTCCTCCTCATGCTGCAAACCCCCATCCATCCCCTCAGCGTCAGCGTAAATGCCACCTCTTCCAAGGAGCCCTCCCTTGATCCTCCCACGTCACTATCACACTTCGACTGCACCCTCAGACCTTGGCATGGAGGGGAGCTGGAAAAACTGATGACATCATAATACTGTTTTAGTTGTTGCTCCCCCAAGACTGCCACCCTGGTCCTACTTCAGTTTCTTCAGCATGCTATCTGAACATGTTTTATATTTCAGACAGCAATCAATGTCCCACAGAATATAGTCTTGGTATTATGGGAAATCTTAGATTATCTTTGCATTTCATAAACAGAAGTCAGCATGGTGAGTCAAAGAAAACTTTCTTCAACTTCTCACAACCTCTACTATCACTCTGGTCTGGACCAGCATCTTTCTCTGGATGAGAGCAACTAGGCTCTTCCCTGGTCTCCTTGCTCCTACCTCTGGCCCTCATAGCCCACTCTCAAAGCAGCACAGTCACCTCTTCTGCTCAAAACCCTCCAGAAGCACCCACGCCATTCAGAGCAGATACTATAAAGGCCCAAAGACTACACTGATTCTCCTCTATTTCCCCTCTAACTCCATCTGCCACAGAATTTCACCTCACTATGCTCCACCCTCTGTGGAAACTCCTGCTGGTCCTGGATGAGGGCCAGCAGTGAGGGTTCCCCATCCACTATTCACTGTGGCAATGTTCTTCCCCAGCCTTCCCAACCCCTAACCAACCTCAAGTTTGGCTCACCAGATACATTTTAAAGGAAACTGACAGTGACTACACTATTTAAAGTTATAAGCAGTTGCCCGAGCTGGGTGGCTCAGTTGGTTGGAGCATTGTCCCTCCAGTTAACCAAAAGCTTAGAGGTTCAACTCCTGGTCAGGACACATACCTAGGTTGCAGGTTTGATCCCTGCTCAAGGAACATACAGGAGGCAACTGATCAATGTTTCTCTCTCATATCAATGTTTCTCTCTTTTTCCCCTTGCCTCGCTTTCTAAAATCAATAAATATATCCTCAGGTGAGGATTTTAAAAAATAAAATTACAAGGGGTCCCTGAATCTGCACTCCTGATCCCCCCACCCTGCTCAGCTTCTTACTACAGCACTTATGGTCTCCTAACATAAACATAATTAACTTATTCATTGTCTCTCCCCTACAGGGAGCTTCAAAAGGGAAGTGATTTGTGTGTTTTGCTCACTACTGTTATCACAAATGCCTACAACAGTGCCAGATACATAGGAAGTACTCAATAACTTTTGTCAAATAATATTTTCTTCAAGAAATGTAAATTTGTTTCTTAATCAAATAAGTAATATTTCTCCTATATACCATTCAATTTCACATTAATTCTTTGGACAAAAAAACAAACAAACATGTTTTGGGTGGTTGTTTCAACTCTTGCCTTGTTCCTCCATAGTCTGTGCTCTCAGATACCAAAATGTTTTGCTCCCACAGTGGTAACTGGGACTGGCAAAAACTGAAAAAGCACTGAAAATACAAGGAATGCATTCATGATGATACTGCCCAGGCAAGAAATATGACAGAGTATCACATGACAGCATCCTGAAATGCACTGCCTTTGAATTAACATTCACCATGAATCAAACCAAAGCAAAAGCAATGATTTCCAGACACTTAATCATAGGCCTATAGTCACCCTAAAAGGAAAAGAGAAAACTTTTCCAATAGAGCACTGGTATTTTATTTCAAACAAGAGAATGCAACAATAAAGGAATAAGTTCCTAAACAGTTCCTGATTAATAGCTTTCAAGTTCAATATTTAAAAATTTTACTTTCTACTGCATAGGCTCAAATGATATCCACGGGTTTTAACATTAAGATAAAAAGAATAAGGGGCACAGCATCTTGTTTGAGTTACTGATTTTGCAGCAGACAAAACCAATGTTATTTCATCATTGATATCTCTGCCTGCCACCTAAATTTAAATATACTGAAATTTAAAATGCTGTTTTCAAATTCACTTTTAGGAGGACATTTAGTTCAGGTTTATCCCTCCTCAATGTCACCACTGAAAGTAATGAAAAAGCCGTCACTGCTATTAGGAAGATTAAAGTGAATTCTTTCAATTGAGGCAGACAATCTTATAACTTCTTTGACAGGGCTTTCAAGTTTCACATATTTGGGATAAATAGTTCTATGTTATAAGAATCAGTTTTCCTTAAGAAAGACACTAAAATGTAGTTTTATCTTTATGAACAGTAAGTACTTGTTAACATTCATCTGGTCTCTAAGAATGGCATATTCTATTTCTTGGCATTTATGGTGCCTGTACCCACATCAGTGCTACTTTCTGATGGACAAGGGATATGGTCACAGTGCATTAGAGCAAACGTCCCGTCAGAGTCTCCCTGCATTCAGAATAACTCTGCGCTTGTTCTCCTCAGTGTTGGGCACGGCTATCAATCTCACCCGAGTGGCACTGCTTAAATATACTAAGTACTTGCCGTCCTTGTTTATTTCAAGGCTTCTCCAAGTTTTATCTTCTTTCATGTATCAGATTTACAATGTGTCTATCACTCGAGTCATCTACCCATCAACTCAGAACTTAATAAAACAGAATAAATTACAAGAGCACAGCTATAGAGTTCATATTACCTAATCACAGAATCTGTTCTGTTGTACCCTGGGATGGAAGAAGCCTTTTCTCCTGGAGATCCCAAAATTTGAAGTGTTGTATTAATGTCAACTTCAGATGAATGCTTAATGGAATATTCCATTATTTCTGGAGGTATTAGCGGAGTCTCTCCCTGAGTATCATCAGCTAAGAGGTAGCCTTCAGTTTAAAAAAAATTAAAAATGAACACTTAACAAATCTACATTTATCAAATTGTACTATAAATGTTTTGTTTTATTTGATTTAAATATATCATATAAATTGATGTAAAAGTAAATTATAAATTTAATATGTTAATTTCAAGATTGATGAAAAGAAACTTTCTATTTCTTAGATAATTTACTCTCAAAAACAGGAAAGAACACAGGATAAATGTTTATTCAACAATTTTATTACTTACACTGACATGTAGGCTTTTTAATCTACCTTTTAATAATTTTCAGTAACATATTCTGTAAAGTTAATAGGAATTTTACTATTATCTATATCAAAAGTCAATATCTGGGGACACCTTTTCAAAAATTAAGACTTTTTTCCTGATTATTTAAAATACAGAAATACTAACAGTATGGTTACAGAAGACTCTAAAAGTCAGACTGCCTACATTTGCATTCTGGCTCTAAAAATTAATAGCAGTGTAGCCATGGGCTAGTGTCTTATACTCTCCAAGTCTCAGCTTCTTCATTTATAAGAAGGGGATAATAATAATAACAACAATAATAACAATACCTAATAATAGAACCAATTCAATGGGCTATAATGAGCTCCACATAAAACATTCAGTATGCAATAGGCACTGAATACATGTTAGCCAATATTTTTAAAAAACACATCTATAGCTGTAATATATAGCAGCTGTCACCAAATTTCTTCCAATACTATGTATGGACTATTATTTTTAATATATGAAGCTACTTTTTAAGGTTTGAACTGCTCAGCTGGCAATTACATTTTAAAAGGAAACAACCAACCAACCTGTAACTAAAATAAGCCAGTGAATATCTTCATAGAGGTCATCAAGCATTTTGTTGTCAATGGTGCTTGAACCAGGTGAAGCAAGTAACTGCTGCTGATGTCGCTGTAACTGACTGTGGAGCCTTGTTACTCTTTCTTCTAATAAACTAAAAGAAGAAAAAAAAAACAATAGCTTCATAAAATTCAATAAGCAAAGACCTAGAATAACATAATTTCCATGTGTCAGACAACATAAATTAAGATCTTAGCACAAAAACACATATACAAAAGTATTTTTTATCATACTCAACTGTTCTTATAGCACTACAGGAACCATAATTTATCGTTTATGAGAGAATAACAAGAGTGCTTTACAAGCAATCAAGGTTTACAACTGGCATTTGAAAACTACTTATTCCAAGTTTTTACTGATATGGGTCAAGCCAGTCTCATTCCGTGTTTCCATAATCTCTCTGCCACCTATGCTGGAGTGCCTAGGCTCCAATGTACAAGCCAAGGAATGAAACTTTGAGTATGTTTCTGTCCGCTTACTCCAAGTGTGCTGGGTGCATACAGGGTGAGGGAGTATGTAAAGTGCTCTCTAGGGAAGTGTGAGTATGGAGCATTTGCTCTGCAGGTTCTGTGGACTGTGTGTACCTTGTCAGAAGAGGTATACAGTGCTCTGCAGCAACTCTTCCTAGCATTCCTACACTGGCTAGTTGATCTGAAAACTGGTCTCGATCATCCTCTTGAAGCTCACTTATTTCCTCTTCCTCACGAGAGGCCACACCATTGGCAGTCTGTTGTCAATGAGAGAAATAATGAGTAATGAGCTGCACGCCTTTGTCTCACAAGCCACGCATTTCTGCTGCACTGTGAAATAGCCTCCGCACTTCACATGAGAAGGGGAACTGGACAGAGCCTACCTTCAGTGCAGCTGTCTAGGGACCCCTACCTAACTGTGCTGACAGCCCTACAGTCACCCAAAGTGGGAAACACAGAAGAGAAAGGAGCGAAGGATATAGACCCACAGCACACATACATAAACACAGTTAACTAACCCCCGCCCACAACCCACTTCCCACACCGGAGAGTTTAACTTCTGTCACTGAAAAGATCTGAAATCTTCAAGATCCATGGTCCTTGGATACAAGAAGTCATTCATATCACTTAACAACTAGGAAGACACAGGTGGGTAACTGAAAACTGAAGACAAAGGAGGTAACTACCAGTCACATCCCACAAAGCATGATGCAGTCAGACAAGGGACCACTTCTGATCTCCATCTAATGCTCTCAGCAAATTCTCTAAAGAAGCTTAGCCCAAATTTCTAGCATTGCACAGTGTGTAAGAGAATAAAATAGACAAAACAGAGCCTATGATGATGAAATGAATTTTTAATCACAATCTGGCTTAAAACTTACCAAATTCCTTGTGCCATCTGGAGCGGCCAGGTGGCATTGAATGTAAGAATTGAAGACTTGAACAGCATGCTGGGTGAAAAAGCCTTTATGGAAATGTTTGTCATCCTGGACCAAAGTTAGCCAGGACTCCAGCAACTTGTCATATGCTTCCATGTAGACCATGTCATCTTTATCAAGCTAGGAGGAAAGAAGTTTCACAAAACAATGGCCAGAGAAATAAGGTGGGTATTACAACAAGAGTCACATAGCTATGCATATATAGTTTTCTAAGTTTTTCCTTTAACGAGGGTTCCCAACTATTATTCAATAATCTAGCTGAGTTCATTCTAAGACTAACTAGTCATGTCAAGCATTGCAGGCATTCTATTAAACTTTCTAAAATCTTTCTAACTTAATCTAAATAATTCTTAGGCAAACAGGAATTAATGTTTATTTCTTAACAAGATTTTAGGCTTTAACAGTGCTTTAGGGAACATGTATTTTTCAAATAAAAATAGTATTAACTTTTTTCTGTAGTCAAGAAGAGACCTGTTAGAATGAAAAGATAAAATGTGTACTTAACTATACACTTCTAAATGATTTTTTTTAAAAAACTGGAGAATGATGACTAGCCTAACTAACATACTCAAGAATGTGGGGAGAACTTCACAGATACTCCTTAACATTTTTATTTTTTTTAAGTAAGATAGGTCCTACAGAGGAGTTTGAGGAAGCTGTTAAGGTCTTCCTACTTAATTAGTAACCTGGACACATAATTTAACCTGTGCATTGATTTCTTCATCACAAATTCACTAGATCACCATTCAATGAAACCCAGAATACTTACTGTCAAGCACTATGCTTAGTGGAAAAACAAAAATAATTGTGCTTTCGAGCTCAGTTCAATGGAGAAGAATAAGAAACAAAAAATTACAGAAATACAGTAACAGCCATGAGAGAGAAACAGATTTTTCAGAGTTGGTTTTTAACAACAGCATCTCTCATAAATAGTTATAAATAAAGAAGCAAAGTCTTTAAACTACGTATATATTCACTTGTAAAAAGGTTTTGGCACAACTCATCATTTCCAACATTCTGTTACTAGGAAGACTGAAGGTCTATAGATTTAATCTGTAACTTCCTTTTCTGGTTTCTACAGCCAACAGACTGGCCTCACCTACAAATACAGAACTCTGGAATGTTCATCAGAGAGTACTTTCATCAATTTGTCAATAACTCAAAAAAAGGAAAGTACTAAAATGTCCACACCAAGTATTTCAGATAAAGGACCATGAGGACACTACCGACAGCTCATGACCTCTAAGCACCAAGCAAACTCCTTCTAGTGAATTGTTTCCTGTGTCTTCAGCTTTTGTTAACCTACTGCCTACAAGGAAAGTTATTTTCTGTGTCAAATAAACCTTACAAAAATTTGTAATATTTTTAATTCATTTTGTGAAAAATTTACATAAGAATGAAAGGAAAGTAAAAAGAATATCATTAGATAATTTTAATAAGAATTTAAACATAGCAAACCCAATTTTTATTCCTTATTTTCCTGGCCGTGAAACAACATACAGTTTAAGTCCTCACTTGATGTTGCAGGTAGGTTCTTAAACTTTAAGTGAAACCACGTACAATGAATCCAATTTTACCACAGACTGATTGATATGAAACGTTATTCGAGAACCTGCTGCATAATGAAAATATACTCAAGAACCTGCTGCATAATGAAAATAAACAACATTCTTTGAAAGTAAATGGAACATAGTCATCTTGTAAATAGTCGATTCTTTCTATTTGTGGCATATATGTTCTATAAAGTCACCATGAACCCTGAATTAGTGAATACAGGGTTAGGTTCCTTCTGTTTTTCACCAGGTACAGGTGAACAAACGGATCAACACACCACCTTGTTTTAAGTTTGATTGTTTATAGATGCTCACAGCAACAGCGCTGTAACTTGTGCCTGAATGCAACTTGTCTAACACCTGCATTTGCTCCACATCAGGGCTTCCCTGCTCTCTGCAACACCAGGCAGCACCCAGCACAATGCAGGGGGTGAAGGGTGGCGAGGGGATGTGGCCGGGGGGGGCGGGGGGGGGTGTTGTGCCATTTTAAAAAGTGAAAAGTGGATGTTGTGCACAATCAATGCACAGGAAAAACTTCAACATCTTGTGACAAAAATTTGAGTGTGAATGGGGACGCTTGTTTGCAGTACGAGGGGTGAAACAGGAAGGCAGAGCACTGAAAACAAAACTGCCTTGTTTGACCTCAGCTGGAAAAACCAAGCCAGGCAATTCTGTTATCCGTCACTCTTTGCATGCATCTGTCTGAGAATGATTGTGAAAGTGCCACCAGTTCTGATTTTGGAGTTACAAATAGATTTTAGCAAGGGGGTTAATTTGCAAATATGGAATCTGCAAAATATGAGGATCAACTGTACTTGTCTTTAATAGGTTCTAACTAATTAAGCTGGTTCTTTTTGGTCACCTATTATGAAAACGCATTGCCCTTTTGAAAACTTTGATAGATCATGACTTTCTTGAAGAACAGCGAAGTTCTTGGTTCCATAAATGCAATAGCGTATTCATTAAGATTTATAAATACTGCCTTGGCCAGAGTGGCTCAGTTGGTTGGAGCATCATCCCATAAACCAAAGGGGCATGGGTTCAAATTCCTGTTAGGGCACATACCTAGGCTTTGGGTTCGGTCCCTGGTTGAGAGGCAACCGATCAATGTTTCTCTCTCACACTGGTATCTCTCCCCGCGCCAGATTACCCTCGCTTCAACCCCTCCTATTCTACTCTCTCTAAAATCAATGAGCATGTCCTCAAGTGAGGATTTAAAAAAAAAAGATTTATAAATACCAATGAAAAGAATCAATTCAATTTTTTTCATTTCTACATCATTTATTTCCTTCCAATCACCTTTATACATGCTGCTTTCAGCATTAATCCAATTACAAACGATATTAAATAAATTTTGTTGTATGAATATCAAAAAACAATCAACACTGTCAATATCATTTTGCAAAATATGACAGTCCAAACTCTCTGTCACAAAATATTGGGTAAGGTTCCCCGTGCAATGAGAATGCCATGTTTTCTTTTTGGCTTTGGAAATATATTGTTTGCTCATGAACTGTAAGAACCTATCTAGGAGATAGCTATAACTCAGTCTCAGATTTCACTTATACTGTCAACTTCACCATCATCATTAAAGAGCCTGGAGTGCTGCTGTCTCTTTTACATTCATCTTCTGATTTCTTTTCTCACTGCAAACTGTCTGATTCTGGCATTTTCCTTCTCTTACTACTACGAGCAGAAAATGAAAAATTCTAAATTCTCTATGTATCCAATGAAACTTAAATTTAAAAAAAGACTTAAAAGATGGTATTTCCAGAATTCCTTTACAGCTTCTTGGAAAATGCAATTAGAAAGCAAAAAAATAATAAATAGCAGCTGTTCATTTCATTTGTAGTGACTGAGTTCACTATTATATCATTGTTTAGGTGATTCCGCTATTCCTCCACTTCCTTATTATTTTAGACTATTTTTTAATAGCTGGGAATTGACGAGTAATGGTGAAGAACTTCCTGAGGTCATAAACATCAAAATGTTTCAAAATATAGGAGAAATCAGATCACTAATATCAATAATGTATTTTATTTAGACTTACAGAGTTTGACATATCCATAAGGCAACTGCAAGATAGGAAATGCTCTTTTTGTCCTAAGGTCTCCAAGAAGAATAAAATCAATGCTTAAAATAGTTAGAACTGATCAAAAAAGAAACTATAAACAAGTTCCTGAGGGTTAAAGAATGCTGTAAAAAAATTTGTTCAAGCACCGTCTGTGGTCATGGGAATGAGGATTCTATTCACTGTCTCCCAGTTGAAGCTTTATAAGAGATTTTTTTTATTTTTAATTTTTACTTAAATTAGGAAAAATATCTGAGGGGAGATGGAGCTTCCTCTTTTTGCACCAGATCCTCTTAAGGCACTGTATCTCCCAGCCCACTTCAAATCTAAATAGTCAAATTTAGCCCAGCCAGGTAGCTCTTGGTTGGTTAGATCATTGTCTCAATGGGTCAAGGCTGTATTTTCAGTCTCTGGTCAGGGCACATGCAGAAGTCAACCAATAAATGCATAAGTGAGTGGAACAACAAACATGTTTCTCTCCCTCCCTCCCCTCCGTCCTCTCTCTCTAAAATCAATAAATAAAAATATTTTAAATTTTTTTAAAAATAAAAAGTTAAATTTATATATACAGATAAGCTGATAGCTTATATATCAAGATTGCTCTTTTCCTCTAGTCTTGATTTTCTACTCTTGTTTAATCCCTAAAAAGTTAACTGTGATGCTCATTACCTTTTGTCTTTCTCTCAATGATATGCTCATTCTTCTAAACACTGCCTGATTCATGAAGAGCAGCTGTGAAGAGTGGCCTTAAGCAGACAAGATACCAGTTGAAGGGTTAATTGAAAAATGAAACTGACTTAAGAATGTTTACTAACAGGTAAGTCACAAGGTGATTTATCTGTAGGAATGTTTGCTGCACCATTACTTGAGACAGTGCAAATAAAGTTATTGAATCATTCTCCTAATCTTTTATATTAAAAACTATGATTTAAAACATCAATTGATAACATAAAAATTCTCATAATAATATAAATAGAAGTAATGATTTTGTTTTTAAGTCTAATTGGCATGCCCTTAAAATCTGGAAAAATACATCAAAATATTAATATAACAAGTTTCAGAAGGTGAAACTACAAGGATTTGGTTTACTTCTGATTTTTTCCTTTTTCAAATTAATTTTCAAAAATAATGAATAAGTATTAAATGTCAATAGTTAGGGAGAAAAAGGTATTATATAACTTGATGTATGAATAAAGACATAAGAAAGTGGTAAGTGATGAGACTTTCAGAGATTTTTAATTTTATGCACTGTTTGAATTACTTTTACCAATGAACATTTTCACAACATTAAAACTGCATTCTGAAATTATCTTAGTAACAAAATTGTAATTATAAGTGTGAATAAGAAAATAAAAGTAAAATCCAAACCTACAAGTAACAGACACATTCCTTAAAAATGTGAAACTTGGTATCTGGAGATAACCTGAATTCTCACAATTTTTAGGTAGTTTAAATTCACACCTCTTCCCCCATCCTAGTACCAGGCACAGTCAATT